TAATTTTTATATACTAATTGAAATATATATAATTCTTTACAATTCGTTGATAGTTTTGAGTTTTTTTTTTTAATTTAACTTTTTTAACCAATTTTTTTCTATTAAAATCTAAGCTAAATAGTAAACATTTTTTATTCTCATTTGAGTTTTTGTAGTTTTTTTGTTTTTAATTGTTAAAAAGGTAAGAAAAGGCTCAGTTATATAGCTTATATATTTATATATATGTTTATTTTTTTAGTTTTTTTTGTTTTGTATTATTTTGTATTTCAGAAATTTTACATATGAACAACTTTTAAACAACGTTTCTCAATTAACTAAGACTACTTTAAATTCATTTACATGCATTTAATTAATTATTTTAAATATAGTTAATATAATTTGTTATATATAAGTATATGTATAATTATATAAATGCTTGTTTTCACTATAAACTCAATAACATTTTTTCTTGTTTCATGTTTTTTTACACAAATATTTTGTAGTGTATATATTTTGGTTTTTGTATTTTTAATATATTTATTCCTTTTATTTTTAATTACTTCTTATTTTTTATATTCTTTATATTTTTATTTATATATACTTTATATAATTTATTGCTATTTCAACATTTCTGAACATTCATGTCTTATCTTTAATAAAATACAAAAATACCTGTTTACATATTTGCTTAATGTTCTGTTTTATTAGACCTAAGTGAATTGAACATTACTAAACTTTTCATATTGACTATATAAAATTACAGGGTACTCTACATTTGGCATTTAAGATTTCTAATTCGAATACGAGTAGTCAGAGGTACTGCAGTGTTGATGTGTTTTTATATGCTTTGTTTTATAGATTTTGTAAATGTGCAGAAATGATAAAAAAAATTATTTATAAATAAATAATTAAAATTATAAAAGATAATAAATAATTAATAATAATAATAATAAATAATTGAATTAATTAATTGTCTACAAAGTAACTAATATTTAGTTAAATATTTGAACTAAATTTCTTAGATATTCATATATTTATTTACTTAATAAATTATCAATAAACAAATTAATATATTGATTAAAATAATTTTATAAATATTTAACTTATAGAAATTAACTAATATATTTATCTACTTAATTTAAATTATTTCTTAACAAACTGAATGTATTATTAAACAAACAATAATTCATTATTATAAATTATTATAATTAATTATTATAAATAGTAACAAATATAAGTGATATAAATTATATAGAAGCAATAAAAAATAGATATATTTATAAATGGCAATACATAGTAGTATACATATTTACAAATAATATATTCATTCATTTTATATAAAACTATTAAGTTTATTAACCAAAAAACAATATTTTATTATCATTAATAAATTATCATTAAATAAATAAATAATAGATATATATATTAAAAGTTATTTAAAAATATTTTTAAAATTATAAAAAACATCAAATTGAATTTGTATAAAATTTATAATAATACATTATAAATACATAAATTTATATAACAATACTATATAGAATATAGTAATATATAGTAATATTATTGTAATAAATATAATAATATAATTATTTATTTCATAAAAAACTAGGTATTTTATTGAACAAAAAATACTGTATATTATATTTATAAATAATAATAAATTTATTTGATAAAAATTTTAAAAAGTTGTTAAAAAACATTATTATACTATAAATGTAAACAAATATTACTGATATAAATTAAATGAAGTAAATAAAATAATTAATAAATATAAATTTTAAATGGTGAATATATAATTGTATAATATATATATTTATAAGTAATACAATAATATAATTATTTATTTTATAAAATATTAGATACATTGATGAAAAAAAAAATAATCCATATATTCTTTAAAAGTTTCAAATGGTAAATATATGCTGTTTTAATTTTTATTTAATATATTTTAATAAATTAAAATACATTTTATATTTAAATTAACTAAACAAATAAAAAATTACCAATAAAAAAAATATTGTTACATAAAATTATTACATAAACTGTGATATTAAATATTAAATTATAAAGTTAAAGTATTTTCAAATTTTGAATTAAGGGTGTATTTCCCAATATTTACACATAATACAATTTATATGTACAGTTTTATAGGTTATGTTATATATAACAAAAAAAATATTTATATCAGAGTTTTTATTTCAAATAACAAATTTATGACTGATATAAAATAACAAAAAAATATACATATATAAATAAAAAACATAAGTGATTAATATATTTAGCTACATGTATGGATAATACTATTTATTATTATATATTCAGCTTATAAATTATAAATAGTAAAAAATTTTTAGGTTATTGTTTTTTAATGAAAATTAAATTATAGTTTTTATTTCATAAATTTTTATAAATAATTTTAAATAATTATACTCTTGTATATATATATTCATATTTACAAATAAATTTACATACCTGTTTAATTATATACTAAATAAATTATGAAATTTTAGAAAAATTAATTAAAATTATTATACAATAATAAATAAAATTAAAAAATGGATTTCACTCTCATATAGGATCCTACCTTTCTTTCTGATATATGTAATAGGTTAAACTTTCAGAGTTATGAATTAAATTATATTATATTCAATTATGAAATATAAAACTTAATTTAAAATAAATTATATAAATTTAATAAAATTACTTAAAAATTTAATTTTACGCACTTTATTTTTGCTGAAAAAACTTGGGTCTACAATTGATTTCCCTGATTCTAGATTCGGTGAGTGGCTCATTGTTATGAAGAGAATAGTTTATTTATACCGTCTTTTAAAATAATTTTTTTTTGCAGTATGGAACTAATTATTATCAACAATTAAATAATTAAATGATTTTTTTAATTAAATGAATTAAAATGAATTATAATTATGTCATCAGTGTGAACACTCTTTTATCATGCGTAATCCAAATATTGTATACAATTCGATTTTTTTAATTCAATATATTGTTTTTGCATGTGGGAACACAGTACTATTCTTAGGCTCTTCTATTCTTATTCTTCTTATTTAAAATGGAACATAGTTTTGTAAATCATGAAAAAATCTGTGTCGTTGGGTTATGAGTAAGAATTATATACAGTAAAAATGTGGAAGAAGCAAAACATTTCTAGCACTTATTTATATTAAGTTCTATTTTCTCATAGACATAAGAATTTACTTAGACTTCTCAGGGCTTAGCCTAACTTTATCTGAAACGTGCCAAAAAAGTAGTGTTGTGAAATTATTGACAGATTCTGGTAGTTAAAGTACCCGAAATTTGTATAGCACGTCTTTGTCGCTCATTAGAAACAAATGTACATTAATAAAGGTTGCAGAAGTTTTCATGGGAAGGCAGAACAAGTCATACAGCCAAATATTTGTATGTTAGTCAAAATTCCATTTTAGTTTCTGCAGTTTGGTGTTAAATTTTAAAAATTAATATAATTCAATAAATCATAAAAATAATCTATATAGTTGGGTTTTAAGTAATATATAAAAGAAGCTTGGGTGAGCCAATAGCTCCCACTGTTCTATTGTAGTTCTATAAATGTATATTTCAATTCATTAGATCGAGAGTTTTCGTATAGTACTGAATTGCAACAACAGAAATTTTTATTATTTTTAATTCATTGAATTTTTGGCTGACCATACAATTGCTTCGAGTACTAACAATTACCCATTCCATTAATCAATAATTAAATAATCTATTGATTAATTAATGATGTTGATAATTAATATCATTCAATTAATTAAAAATAAATTAAAATTTTTGTTGTTACAATTCAGCACTATTTGAAACTTCTTTATTAAATACAATAGTTACTGCTAACTAATCTATGACTGTCATAACCGATTTTAAAATCAAATTTAATTTTGATCTAAACACTAATATCTGATTAAATGTGTTCTTTTCAAATAATTCCCATTCTTATTATGTTCCCCGACAGTTGAAGAGTCACCACTAGATAATACTTTTCAATTTTAAATTCATGAATAAAGTAATAAAAACAAATGAATGTTTAAAAAAAATATTTTTATTAATTAAATAATATATTACAATATTTAAATTAAAAATAAATAAATGAATATTTTAAAAATAATCGTAGTGGATATAGGGGAAGGATAAGGATTGTCTTGAAAATGTTTAATTCCTTTTTATATTGTTTACTTGTGTGTGTACATAAAAATTTAATTATTTCTCTTTTAATAGACTAGATTATTATAACTAGAGCTAAGTATACTTAATATCTTTGCTAATTTTACAAGATGTACATAATTATTTGATAATATAATAATGACACAAAAGGCCAATAGGAAACTTATTAGAAATTTAATTTTTTATTTAAATATATATAGTAATTGATATATATAAAAAATTAAAAAAAAAAGTAATAATTAATGTTGTTATAGAAATTATGTGTAGATGGATATACATATATAAATATTTATTTTAAAATTAAAAAAAAAAAAATAAAAAACTTTAAATTTAAATAAATAATTAAATTACAGTTTTTTTTTTATAAATGAGATATAGTGTTTTAATTATTTTTAATTTTTTTTTGGTTTTTTTTTTGAAAAATGTATAACAACACAGTAAATTCTACTAAACTAACTAGCTAAGCTTACATTTACCTAAAAACTTCTGATTAATAGGAAGTTCAGTATTAATAAAATCTTCATACAGACTTAAGTGCTAACAATTGTCGTTTAAGCTAAACTTATGCATCCTATGAGTTTACATAGTAATATTATTTTTATTTTTTTTTTACTATTTTACAGCTAATCACAGAGTTGATGATTTCACACAGTTTAAACAGTTTCTTTATTTAATAATAATTTCATATTTAACATATTTATTTTGTGTTTCGCTATATATACACAGTAAACGCAAAGATAACGTTCGTACAGATACATTTTTTATATTTATAGATAGATTTTTTTTTGCTTTTTACTTTTTTTACATTTTTAAGTGAAAACCTTAGATAACAATTAAGTTGTTTTGTTTGAGTTCAGTTATGTGTGGTTTGTTTATAAATACAATATACATAGAAAATTCCCTAAAGTTGACAAAGTATTATCGAATTGGAGTTTCTTAATTAATTTTTTAAATTTTTACTGATGGTGTTGAAGGTTACTTCTTCTTTTTGTGTATATGTAGTAGTGTGTCATTGAGAAGGTCGAAAGTAACTTAATCCATAGAAGACTGTGGGGATTTGACTAATAACAGTTCATTGTAATCGGAATCTTCGTTGCCACTGTTGTCACGATGATCGATGCGTCTGCGTTCCGAAATTATTCGTAGAATATCCGCTGAGTCGGATTTGCTCAGTCCCTCGCTAATTTCTGTGTCTGCTGCATGTCCATTATCGTCAGTTGTCAGCTTATCAGTGAGTAATCGATTGTTGCTGCTACTAATTGTCTCAACTACAACAGGTAGCAATAGTGAGTTTTCATCCATGTCTGGATCTTCGTCAAGTGCTTGTTGCTTGAAGAGTTGTTTTGTGCTACCGCTGCGACTGCGTGGTGGCATAGTTCGTGGTACTGATAGGAGACCACTTCTAGGTGGGCCGAGGCAACTTTGATCTGTAGAAAGTGAGCGACCGTAAGGTCTTCTCACTGGCTCTGTTTTTTGCGTACTACTACTGGTGCTTGCTGTGGAGTATGGTGTAGTTGTGGGTTTTTCGCTGACTACAGCGCTTACTATGCTTGCCGCATCTGATATAGTCCTTTGGACTCCTTCACTATGTACACTGCGTATATCATATGTGGAAGATGGACTGCCACCATCAGACTCCAAACTCTCAAATATGGTCCCCCGTTTGTAATCACTCAACTCACCACTCCATGGCAATGAGTCACAGCTCATACGTTTGGATTCCAGTGTCCGTCTACGTATGGCTTGTTCATCTAATGAACGTTCTTTGGTTAAAATACCGCGTTTGCGGTAAGCAGTAGAGCTGCGTCGACCACGACGTGCTAGCGGTGGTATTTGTAGTTTTGCGTCGAGACTATTCTCAGCTGTACCAGGTAGACTATCTGCTGTGGTTTGCGATAATGCCTGCGAAGTTAAAGCACTGCCCATTTCCACAAGACCTAAGCCGTTGGTTTGATTGAAATATTGTATGGTTTGTCGTCTGCCACTTGTGCCACTCATTACACTTGGACATTTCTTTTCCAATGACGGCGTGCTATAAGTGAAATTCATTGGTAATGATTTAACTTTACCAAGTTGACGTTGTGGCTGTGCTAGTTTTGATTGTTCTTGTAGTTGCTGACATAATTTTTGTTCTTGCTCAAATTCCTGCTCACGAACGAGCTCTCGCTCAAGCTCAACTTCCATGTCCATTTCGTCTTCCATTTGTTTGTGGCTCTCCTCGAGGTGTTTCATCAATACAGCCACGACGACGTTCACTAAAACGAATTGCGCCATTAGCACGAATATCACAAAGAATATTGGAGCTATAACCGAACTAACGCAACAGTTGCGTACACAATCTGTTGCATCATCACAGTTATCTCGCAATGTATCCTTCATGATGCCGTTCCAATTATCGCCAGTCGCTACGCGAAACAATGTGAGGAAAGCCATCCCGAAGTTTGCGAAATGTGCATGTTCGCCAAGACCCTGGCAGGGAATCTCGTCGGAGCACTCCAAACGTCCAAACAGTTCAACACCCAAGGCCGCAAATATGAAGAAGAGTAGGAAAAACAGCAAACCGAGATTACCGACTTGCGGCAACGCTTGCATCACTGTGTCCAACAAGGCGCGTATACCTTTGGCCATTTTCAGTAGTTTCAAAACGCGCGCAATGCGTAAAACGCGCATAACACGTATTATTGTCGGATTTATAGGAATGATATTTGTTTCCAATTCTTCCAGCACAATGCCTACAATCGATAGTAATACAATGCCAACATCTAACTGGTTCCATTTATCCTTGAGGTACAGATGCCAGCCCAGCGCAACGAGTTTCATATGTGCTTCGAGTATAAAAACAGCAGTGAAGAAATAATTGAAAATTTTTAGCGCGTACTTCAGTGCGTTTGGCATCTTGTAATACTCCAAAGCCATGGTGACGACATTGAGTCCTATAACTGCTGCTATTGCCAAGTCAAAGTACTTCGATGTGACCACATTGTGTACAAACATGCGAGTCGGTGAGTAGTTAGTATAATAAGGTGGTTCGTGCATGCGCCTACGCTTCTTCTCCATTTGCAAGGCACGTTTTGCGGCGCGGCGTATTTTCTCCTCCTTCTCCTGTTCTTCACGGCAACGATGAAAGTTTTCAACAACAACTCCGACAAACATGTTAAGTACGAAAAAGCCAACAAGTAGAATGAAAGCAATGAAGTATAATAACCGCCACTCATTGTAGTTTACTATAGGTTGCTGATCCACGCCCACTGCATCCAGTCCCGTATACATTATATTTACCCAGCCATCACGTGAACTTAGCACGAACAGCGACATCAGAGCCTTACCCAAATCATCAAAATTATATTTCCGATTGGTCCAGGCGTTACCTGCTATGGCTAGGCATTCGGTTTTGTTACGCACATTTTTGATATTTTCGCCTTCGCAGTAGAAAAATGTGCCTTTGAATAGCTGCACTCCGAGTATGCCGAAGATGATGAAGAAAGTGCAGCATATCAAAACAATGTTGCCGATGGGACGCAGGGACGATAAGAGCGTTTGCACGACTAATTTCAGACCCGGGGCGCGGTTGATAACACGTAGCGGCCGTAGGGAACGAAGTAGTCGAAACACCTGCAAATATTTATAAGGAATTGGTTAGTTGGATGCGGGAAGTGATGAACGCCATAGGTGAAGAGAGAACAATTAAGTGAGAGGTAGGAAGAGAGAAAGAGAGAGGAAGAAGAAAAAAATATTTATTATTATATTATATTTATACATTTTTAAGTAAATGCAAAATATTAAACAATTTTAAAACTAATTTGGAAAAGGGTTAATTTAAGATTATCATTGCTAAATTCATGATAGTAGAGTACATAAGTAGGGAGTTAAAAGTTGGGTTAACTCTTATAATACAACCGACAGTATTTAATCGGTTTTAACTTGGTTTCATCAATAGTAAATAAAATGGATTTCAATATTTAAACCAAAAGTCTGAACACTAATAGCATATAAAAGAGGTAAATTTAATATATATTTAACTGATATAGAAAAAATTAAAATTAATTAATTATATAGGAATGTAAGTAGTTTAAAGGGATATAATTTTTCTAATTTATTTACAATTTACATCAACTAAAATTAAAAAAATTTTGTTGATTATTTTTTTTTTAAATTTCACTTCACTAAAAATTTGAATAAAACTTAAAATTTAAGCAAAATAAAATTTGTTAATTTTTTCACAAAATTTTTAAAAGTTTTCTTTAGTATGTGTTTATGTCCTTTATTATATTTTCCACTTTGTCAATCCTATTTGATTAATTTTCGATTACCCGTTGTGAAGCCTTATTAAAATAAAACCCGCTGCGTTATTCATGTTATCTCAATTCAATGTTCACCAATATTTATTAAAAATCTTCGTTTTTTAGTATTCAAAATCCATAATTACTTTGGTTTATCCTTACCCTTAAAATCCCAAATATCCTTGGACTTGATTCACTAATCAATGACATTAGTAAATCAATTATTGATATGATAACCAAAGATCCATCCATTATATTCCAACCAGAAGTAAAATATGCGTCTGGACCATAGAACATGCCGGTAGCTACAACCTATAAAAAAAATTATTATTATTTTAAATTTGGTTTATATTAATATAACCGGTCCAACAGTTAGAGTGGACATAGATCAATCACCCCTTTTATAAAATTCAATGAAAAAGTTTTCAATTATTTAAATTTTTAAATATTTATTTTTTAATATTAAAAACATAAGCTTTTTAAGTTTTAAATGCTAAACAGAACCTATAAGTCTATGTTAATTAATATTTAGCTGTAAATTAAAAGACATTTAATGGATTTTAAGCTGGTATACGACATAATAAATTTAGTTTTTTGTGACTTGATTTTCTTTTTCTGATAGAAATTCTTTCGATAACCTTTGTACCAGTTCATATAGAAAAATATCTTTCCAATGTATCAAATTTTTTTTATTTTCCAAACCAAGGAATCTGATTCAGCAGTTAAATCCATTTATAATTTGATTTTTATAGGTCTGTCTCGTAAATTTCGGAGACAATTCCTTCGTCCAAGAAACTTACAAAATTTTTTCCGTAATATAAATTAATATATGATTTCAAAACAGCTGTATGGTCAGTTAAAAAATTAAATTTTTAAAAATAATAAAAATTTTTGTTGTTGCAATTAACTACTGTTCGCTAGAAACGTTTGTATTGAATATAATAGTTTATACATATTAAAGATTTAGTTTCTTTCTTCAAAACGAGCGTTAAAAATAAATTTTATATGATTTTATTCGTAATGATAAATATATTTATTTATTTATATTTATTTAATTGTTTATATTTATTGCCATAAATATTATTGGTTTAAAAAAATGAAATACTCGGAAAGTATCTGAATATAACGGAAAGTAGTCATTGAAGAAGATTCATTCAATGATTGCTTGGGTTATAATAAATATATCTATCGATAAATAATTTGAATGGCAATAGATCAATTGGTTAAAAAAAGTTAAATACAAATAATTTAGTAACTAATTCGTTTATTATCTGAAACGAATTTATAAAGAGGGATTTAGCAGTGCTACCTAAAGATCCATTGTTCCACTTTTATGAATTTAAAGTATTCATTTAAAGTATTTAAGAACAAAATTAAGCAGATTGAGAGTAATTCTAGATTGAATTCAGATTTACCAATCAATAACGCGATTACTTCACTGAGTCTATCTTCCTTAATCGATTTAAAATGCTCACCAAGGTTCGCTTCTAGAAGAATATATCGATTATTTCTTAAACCGACAAAAGATGAATAAGTGTCCATACTTTGAGGACTTTTGAAGGTAAATTTTAATAGAGTGAGTCACTAAATTGGAAGATGAGCGAATTGTGTCAATATTTTGAATAAAAAAAATTAATTTAATTTAAAAAAATTAGGTATTTTCTTCATTATCAATAAAAACCTGAAAAAACTTTTTATTACATTTAGTATATATAACAAAAATTTGTGTTTTGGAACCCTATGGAACGTCGTACTGTTTCTGTTAAAAAAAATAAAACTTTACTATATATAAAAACTATTTATAAACTAGTAGTCACCCATTAAAAACTTACTAATATATTTTTCATGGTAAGTCCTTGATTAGCATGTTTACTATATGGATTCTTAACTCATCATTCAGTCTTCATACATCATTCTATCCATTCCCATCGTTCATTTTTTTGTCATAAACTCAGTACCTTTTTTTAAGACAAAAGGTACCGACTTCTTATAATATATAGGAATAGGAAGATTTTATATTCTATTATTATATATATTTTTCATATCTTCAATAAAGTTTAAAATATCATTTATATATTTTATATGAATTAAAATTTTATTTGTTCAAACTTTTTTACTCCATCCTTCCTCATATATACTATGGATCTAAACTACTTCACCTGCATATTGTTTTCTACCAAATTTTCAACTATATTTTGATAAGTTTAATAGATTATTATTAGAACCATTTGCACTCTGCTTAATCCACTTCAATTATCAGTTGTTTAGCATGAAAATCCATTCGGGGATTTTCGTTCCATTAGAACACATGAAATTCTTTATTTTCACTCACTTACCATACCACTTATCAGACAAACTAACCCCAAGGTATGCCATAATGACAATGTTACAATGCCCATGTTGCCATCTCAACAATGAAGCTTTTTTTTTTATCTCACTTTTAGTTCCATGCCACATCAGTAGGCACTCGTAGGTCGCATAACCAAATAGGAGTCTTACCTTAATGAACATTTCCACTGTAAATATGACCGTGAACACGTAATTGGCCGTAGACAGGAATAATCTTTCGGTGCTGTATGGAGGGATGTTTGGTCGTTCCATTGCCAACGTTATACAATTAAGTGCAATGAACAGCAGGACAACATTGTCGAACCACTTCTGATTAACAAACCATGTACAGATTTCACGGAACCTGTTGAATTGCAGATTAAAATAGAAATGTGAATACATAAAAAGGAAAAAAGGAAAATAAAAAAAATCCTGTGAAAACAAAAAACAACAAAATAAAATCCTGGCTATCAACAGACTGTTAAAGAGGATGGATGTATTGTAGGAGTCATGTTGTTGGGCCAATGTGCCAACTACTGCCACTGAGTGTGGTGCAATATCATTGAATCAAATGTGAGTGTTCAATTGTTGTACGGATTGTGTGCACAGTGGGAAACTTTAGACTTTGTACAAATATTGCAGATTTGTTAGTTGGTTGTTGAAGCTGTGGAAAGTGTGGAGCGCACCGGATGCGCTCCTTTGCTTGTTTGGTGTAAAGCTTTTTAATCCAAACATTACAGAAATTGTAGATTATGATAAGTGGCTTGCATGTGTACACAATGTCAATTATATTTTAACAAAATTTTAAATTTAGTTTGTAATTTACTTAGTTAAGGATTAAGAGGTGTATGAGTATATGAGACAAAGGTTGCCTTAGTTAGTTAAAGTAAATTTGAAATATTTTTAATTGGAGAATTATATATATATATATTGCAAATATTTCAATATAAGATATATACAAATTATATTTATTAATAAAACAAAGAAAGTTTTATTAAGCTTCTCTATATTTCCCAAGGATGAAGTAAAAATTAGTTGACACAGTATTTTCACTATGTAAATTCAGTATGATTATCATATGACTATGACAGTTCAGTTAAAAAATTATTAAAATGTAAGCCCATACAATTTTTCAATTATGAAAAATCTACAAGAAAACAGATTTTGGGAGAAGTTTTATTGGGCTACTTGTTATCGTTTCTTGGAAAAAATTTACGGTAAATCAACCATTGTTATTTAGCGTGGGTACCTGCCAGGAAGGTTTAAGACCACAGCGTTCTAAAAAATATACGTATTAATATAATGCGTGGATAAACGCTCGAATTGAAATTATGTGTTTGGCATAACTTCCTCCTTGGTAAGAAGCGAGGCCCATCCTACTGTGGCTTATCTTTGGGTCACAGAACCCGGTGTGAAAACTCAACTCCACTCCGAATAAAAGTAAATAAATATCACCATTCTTCCAGCGCACATTTGAGTTTTAACCACAGCCATCACGTCACTCGCAAGTGAATCTTACTCCACCTCAATTTTAGTCGCCTCTTATGACAGGCACGCCTTCCCTCGGATATATTTTATTTCTTCACCACAGAGGAGATGATAAGAACAATAGAAACAACAGAAAGAAAATATTTTAATTGGTTTTAACCCTTCTAAAATGTTGATCTGGAGACTAATGATGAAGAGCGATCTGGTCAGCCATAAAAGTTTATAGATGAAGAATTGTAAGCATTGTTCCGTCAATATTCGTGAGAAATGCAAGAAGAAATTGGAATTATGCAGCTTGACATAAGCAGTAATTTTCAAGTATTTAATATCAGTGCTATGTATTCAAAAACATGGACATTAATATTGATTTGAATTAATAGCTGAAATACATAGAAATATCACGTACCACGAGATACGAATATCGGGAATTTAGGTTGAAAGTTTTGCTCCAAATTCTTAATGATAATGAAAAGTAGTCTATTATAGTTATAAATGTATAGGATGTCAGACTTGAGTAATCAGCCAAATCGCAACAAAATTAGATCTATTATAGTGATCAAGTGTAAATTATCAGATATCAAGCTTGATGAATCAGCTAAATTCACATCAAAAGCTAATATATGCAACAACACTCTGTATTTGGTGGAATCAGGAATAGGGGGTCATTATTAGTTACTAAAATTTGTTAAAACTATTGCGAGAAAACTGTTGATTACCTTTAAAAGAGCTATGATTGATAAATATCTAAAAAATGAGATCAAACATAAACCCGTAATTGTCAGATTGCATATTGCTACACCGGTTAAATCTTCTTTTGCTAATAGTAAATGGAATGTTTTAATTCACCCGCCTTATACCTATGGTCTTTTCGATTTTGATCACCATTTTTTTTCCTAATACCGAATGCTCTCTTTAGAATACGATTCACTTCACCTGAAAGTATAAAAAGTAAGTTTGATTTATCTTTTTTACCGAACCTAACTAAATAGAAGACACTCTGCGTTTTAAATGAATGCCAACCTAGTTATAAAGGTAAGCTTAGCTTCCGTTGATAATATAAACCCTTGAACTAGAAGTCTCCTTCTAGAGATTCTGTATAAAATTCGGATAGTTACAAAAAATTTGTCTAAAGGTCTCATCTATTTCCAACCAGAGAAAATATTCATCTCATTAGACCTAAATATCTTATTAAGATGATAATGCGGGTTATGAAGATCCAAGATACGTCAATTTTTTGACAAGAAACCCATAATTTTCAGAATGATGGGAGTATATCAGAGCAATTACATGTTCTTTCAATATCAACATAAAAAAAAATTTTGTTTCACTAAAAAACTTCTGGTGCCTGAGTTTTACACCCGATAATTGAGTATATTTAGTTAGGGGAAAATTCGCATAAACCGTCAAACTCTAAGCAACCTTGGAAAATAAAAATTAATTTGATCTAACACAAAATATTAAAAATTGTTATTGTTGTATTTCTATATATAGTATATATCTTTTATTTTTTATAAATAACACTTACCTATGATCTTCCGGTAATATATATAACGAGTAGGATTCTCGTTCTTTACCGAAGTTTGCTGGTTTCAGTTGTTCTATGAAGATTTTTATTTTGGAAACGCGTTCCGTGCTTGGAATCATGGAATGTTGTTCTTTTAGTTGTAGTTGTTGTTGTAGTTCGAGTTTCTGTTGTTGCTTCTCTGAATGTCGTTTGCTGATGGAATTTTTTCGCTTTTCCATCTCCTGTATATATTGTTGTAGCATATCAGGTTCATTTAAATTCGTATAAGATTTGTTCCATTTATCCAAATCCATCTTAGAATTTGTATAAGACATCGATTTACGATTTGCTTCAAGATTATGTAAATTTAGATGTGATGTTTTGCTAAAGGCTAACTCAAAAGACGACATACGTCTCTGACCAGGACTACCATAGAGTTTTGGAGTTTGATTAAGATTTTGATAAAGTTGTGAGTTGAAAATGCAAGCTGAAGCACGTCTACTGCCTGGTCCACTACCTATGCTAAACGATGTAGATAGGCGTCTTATTGAGTTCTGTGGACTCAAACGATTTGTGTCTTTTGTTTTTGTAGGCATGCTTGGTGTGCCAGGGCTCAGAAAAGCTTCTGAACGTGTTGAACTGCCTGGACCTAGTAAATATGAGTTATCATTGCCGTTATTTAATTGATGTTCCTCATCTTCAGCAGTTGTTGTATCGGCTTTTTTTCTTTTGGAACTTGTACGGCGAAAGCGTTTCAGACTGGGTATACGCTGTAAGGATTCATTTGTATTTGGTGTTGTTATTGTTGTTGCTGTGTGCACAAAACCATTTGCAGTTGTACTGACTACGGCAAGCGACGACAATTCTGAATTGTCTTCGCCGACAACGTGTGCCACGGTCGGTGATTTTAGTGCCGCTGCACTGGATGATATTGTCGGCACAAATATTGAACTGGATGCAGTCGAATTGGAATTTTTTGATATATCATCAATTATTACGCTATGCATACTACTACTTAAAGCGCTAGGGAGTAGACTATTACTATTTGGTACTAAACTACAATTATTAATGCTAGTATTGCTTCCTAGTTGGCTGGCATTCAATATGTTAATGGGCTTGTGTGTTAACACAGGCGAGGGCGGGATAAGATCAATCGACGGAATGCCTTCGTCGAGTGAACGTTGTCCACTGAATATGGTCGGTGGTCGCAGGAGTAACGGAGAACCAGGACTCTGCAAACATAAATGAAATTAAGTGTAATTTAATATATTTTTGTTTTAATCTATTTAGTTAGATATATATACCAGTGTTGAGTTCTCCGCATCTAAATCTTGTTGATTCCAATTGCGAAAACTCATGCCAGACTCTAGTGTACAATTGGGTGAGTCTTGCGGTGTCGCTGCGGTTGTTGTTATTATGGGTGGTTCACGCAATGGACGTATTTTCGATAGGCGTGGTACATCCGTACGTCTATCTTTTATTGAATATGTCTAAATGATATTGTTAATTATGCAATATAAAGATTGAAATTAAATAATTTAGTTATATTTATTTAAAAATAATTCAATAAATATTATTTAGAAGTATTAACCTTTTTTAAGTTTCTTTTCTCATCTTCAGGTAATTTGCTGATATCTTTATCCGACGTTTTTCTGCTGCTATTACTATACCCTGGCGGTACACTACCGCTCATGCACTCATTAATCTGATAGTCCTGTGCGGGTTGTAGTAGGCGTTGTTTTTGAACATTACTTTTCGTTTCGATTATTAATTCGGTAGAATCATGTAACTGCAATATAAATGAAGCAACTTTAGCAATAATCTGTTAACCTGAGCTTATCATTGTCATACTTTTCGTACGTCCTCCGCACTATGCCATCTGTTCCGAATTTCGTAGTAACTCTCATTCGTTGTGGATGAGTCGCCCTCACTGCGGGACTCATCGTACATACCGTCGCTGAAATTTTCAGCTAAAGTTTCTTCGCGTAATTTCTTAACTAACTCACGTTGTTCGCGTTCACGACGTTCATTTCGCTGAGGGAATCAAAATTTCAAAATTAGACTTTTCTCATTTCACTAATTTGCTTAAATCTTTGATTTTTGATTTTGGTCCAAAATAATTAATGCAGCACCAATAAAATCCAAAAATTTGGAATCGAATTTGCAATGAGCAATTTTTCGCAAACATAAAATGAGTTCATTTCTTATTATATTATATATAATATATATTTTTCGGTGTTAGTACTATTTACATGAGTGGGTGCTTTTAGTGCTTTTCTTAATTATAATATAAATATATAAGCGCATCAGCATTTGATGAAAATTGTACATGCAAAAAAATAAATTTGATTATTCAATGCACTTTAATATTCGGTGTAGTATGAACCCATTTTAATAAAAACATCGAAAAATTCTTCATTACCGGGAAATTTATTGCTTTTGTATCACAATTCGCATTTAAAACTCTACCTCTGAACTGAATCCCTCAACTAAAATGGCGACTAATAAATTAAACAGCACATAATTTCCGAATGTCATCAAGGCCACAAAGTACAATGCGGCCCAATGACTTGTCTTTTCCATGCCATTAAATAAAACGACGTTCCAGTCCTCCTGCGTTAAGATCTAAAAAATTTTTATATATTGATGTTAAATAAAAATTGTGGAAAAAAGCGCAGTAAAATATTTAAAATAAATAAAAAGTTAAAAATATTAATTTTTAATTATCATTAATTAAATGAGAAAAAATATATAACAAAAAATATAACAAAATATGTTAAATAAATTAAATGATTATTTTGAAAACACATACAGTTAATAGATAAAACAATAAATAAGGTGTTATTTACAAAAAAAAAACAACAAAATACATTAAATTTATTATTCCATATAAAAAGTGTCACAATGATAATTTAGATAACATATACCAATATTTATCACACCCATCATATTGTGAGTGGGAGATATCTGATCAAGAATCCTTGATTTAGTGACGTTTGTAGAAAAACCTCAGTTTTGATATTAATAAGTTTTCTTATAATACCCACTTTTTCAAACAGTCACTATGGAAAATAGAGAATCCCATATTTATTTAAAATCCCACAGATTTCATTTATTTATTTAATAGATTTTATCTCGTCTTAAATTGATATTATACATAAATTTGTTTCAGTCAAATTAAAATTAAATGTATTATTGGTTAATTTCTTTTTTAGTTGAATTCCTTTATGGACCCACTCTAGTAGGTTATGAAAATGACGAAAACCTACTCTAGATTAATTGAGAAAAAAAGAAATTATCCTTTGATACAAAATATGCCCTATAGTATGTAAGGCTTTCGTCTAACCCTCTACTCAAAATTATGAGGAAGACCGATCAAAACGAACTTCAGCAGAGACACTTGAAGAGAATTTCTTCTTCTTATGTGGAAGCTCAAAAATAAGTAAGTAATGTATAACTCAAATGGTTGATATTAGTGTTACATTGGACTTAGGTTTTACAAGTATTATGGAAATTTTTGATGTTTTATATCACATTAAAGATATATCCAAGCTGACACCATTGATACTTTAATTTTTTTTAAAATAATGAAAATTACAATAGACATTTTATAACCCGATATATGACCTACAAATATTAGTCTTACTGGTACATTTGCCAGTGATTGCTTATTTATGACATGTCACACAAGTTGTGTCACTTCAAAACATAGAAAAAAACTTAAACAAATTACACAATTGGACAAAATATCGAGAAATTACATTTTATTAAAGCCATTGTAAAATACCTATAATTGGTCTAGTCTTGTAAAACAGTACAGCTTGATTCTAAAGTGAATCAGAAGCAGTGTGCTATACCAAAGGCTTAGTAAGTTTAATAAACTTTGCTGGATCTCAACTGAATAGTAAAAATTCGAATCTATAAATTGAGAAACGAAACTCAAGTTTAATACTTGGGGTATTCACTATCTCGAGTAACGAATTTAACAGCCAAGTAACATAGTAATAGTGTGTTCCCACTGTCTTCTTTAAAGCAATTTGTATAAACAAGGTCGCTAATGTAATTTGATTAGCCATGCTTTTTAACTTAGTTAAGAATAAATCAAAGGAAATTATATCAAAAATGTCGAATGTAACATTGCAAATTATATTATTCAAAAGGGAAATGATCGAAATTTGATATGTCGAAACGGTTAATTCTAATTTTAGTCCAGCTAGAGACTTAGTCAAGTTTATAGAGCTTGGTTTTGGTAATGACACTTATGCCAATGGAAACGACCAAATCTTAATTCGATTGCATTGATTTAGCTGCAATGGGACAATGGCATAACACTGCAAAGCAGCAAGAACAAAATATGTTTAATGGTAAGTTTGTGCCTGAATTTTATTGTCGTAATTTACAATGTTACTATATTACTCGATTACTGACCTCGTTACTTGAGACCATAAATATCTTTATTATGTTTACACTTTAAATTATTAATACTTATCAAAATATTTTTGTATGGATTTTATATAGATTATTTAAAGAAAACTGCCATATATTGTAGCATATTCATCTAATTAGTAGTGATTGTGTAAATGTATTGCAAGTTTTCGTTGTTAAGAATTGATTTATGATATATGGACAATAAAACCAATATTCTTATTTCATTTATTTATAAATGAAATTTCCTTATATCAAAATAGAAATAAATTCCAAATTGGCAGCACTGGTTGCATAGAAGTATAGTTGGGAGACAGAGTACATATTTTCAGTATGTATGGCAACGAGCCCTTCTCGAATTAATATCATTCAAAGATCAGGAAAGATTTGGGATATATATTTCATCCAACTTCTAGATAGTTTTAATTAGTATATTTGCAGCACTGGTTGCATAGAAGTTTAGCTGGAAGACAGAGTAAATGTTTCAGCATGGCAACGAGTCATACTATCGAATTAATATCATTCAAAGATCAGGAAAGATTTGGGATATATATAAAGTTTTTGGATTCATCTAGTTTCTAGATAGTTTCAATTATTTTATTTGGTGGAAATTTTTTTGAGTTTAATATATTATAAATCCCATTAATTAAAAGATTAAATTAATAACTCTTTTATTACATGTATCATTATATATGTTAATATATATAATATATATATAATATACGTATAATATAATAAGTTAATAAAATTTGGTGCTGTTGTTGTGATTTAAGTTAGTGCTGTTACGCACTTTTATTCTATTGTGGCTGGGGGGCTTATCCCTGCTACACACTAAACTTTAACTATACTAGAATCATTATCATTTATTTATTTTCTAACTGATGACGGACCGTAGATCAGCATATCATCCTGTGCATCCTGAGGTGGACTTAAGGTTAGAGCGGGGTTGGGCAACGTATCAACTTTTGTGAATAATTTTAGGGCTCTCTATCATTTTTATATATATATATATTTTTTTGTTTTGATATTGTGACACTTTGAAATAGAAAATTTTATATATAAAGTAAAATAATTTCAAAATCAATATTTTTATTTATATATAAATTTATTTCAAAAATAAAAAATTAAAAAAAATAAAAATAAGAAGCAGTTTTGTTGCTGTTATTGTTAATTAAGTGCAAATTTTTTTTTTAACATTGCAGAAGCAAAAAGCATTTTAAACTAAAATTTCATTAAATAAAATTAATTTTTTTTTTATATTTTGTATATATATATTTATATTTTTATACAAAAAATAACTCGTGGTGTGATTTTGCGTGAATTTTACATATGTTTTCATCGAATAAACTCTTTAAATAAATTATAAACTCTTTGCTGAAAAGATTTTGGTATTAATTAAAACGTGCCGATATCGAATTGTTTTATATATAATTAAAAAACATTTGTCAAAATAAATGGCTAAGCATTAAAAAAATTATTAAAAGCTAAAATTTGAAAACAAATACATATACAATGTTTAAATATATATGTATATGTATATATATTTATGAACATTTTGCTTTAGAAATAAAACATGCGAAACTTTTACAAAATTAGTTCTCATTTTTTGTTTATATTTAAATTATTTTCTTATTGTGATTGATGGTTCGATTTTAAGTGGTTTTTATGTAAGTATTTACAATGATTTCACTTATTGTTTTTATCTGAAATTGTTTAAATTTCGACGGAATTAAGTATCGAAAATATGTTTACATTTAGTAGGTGAATTGCGTTTTAGTGAGAGTTTAGTAACCTTTTCTATTTTTAGTTTTGTGATCCCTATATTATAGTAAGTGGATGGATGGGTACTCATTTCCGTTATCTTTAAATAATATTGGAAGAGTGTTTTAAAAATATTTTAGTAGTAAATACAGTTTCTCCTCTTTAAATAGAATGCAGACTTACGAAACGAAACTCATTTATATTAATTATTTTATCTTTAATTTAATTATTGTTAATACCCCAATTTTAATTTCAACGAATAATATAATAATTTATATTATATATTACATTATATATATTATGTTAATAATATAAAATTAAAGATAATATACACTGATTACTTTTAAAAAATTGTTCTCAAAACTATTCGAAATTCCACAAAATAATTTTGAATTAATTTATATTGGATATTATACTAAGCAAGTAAATATTTTTTAACAAAGCTGGTATTTTATTTTTAAGTGTGTCGTCTTCTCAAAAGAAAGATGTTTGTGCGCTATATATTTCGGACCTTTTCGTACTTCTCTAGACTCGTCTGGTACACGAACAATATCTCATCCATTATCACGCGTCATTATTCGTGTTCAAATGAGTTTTGGTGCACCAGGCTGTCACACCAATCGATTGCAATCTAACCTAACCTTGTAAATAGGAATAGGAATAGAAAATAACAGGGTACTAGCTCCCATTTGAGCAGAGCACTGCGACCATGATTGATCTTTTGAGCTACAACAGACCCTAACTGAACAAAAGACATTCCGCCCTTCGAATGAAGATCAAAATGTCGGTTGTTGAGGACCTCCTAATGTCGGAAGGTGAAAGCAATTCCCGACCCAGTGATTTCCTCCTGGCCCAGATCAAAGCTGGGCAATCACATAGAATGTGGCTGGTTGTCTCCTCTGCCTCTAAGCAGAGTCTACAATCTATCTCTTCAGATAGGCCCACTTTGTTAAGATGGTAACGTAGCCCATGGTGACCCGTTAGATATCCCACTAGCAACCTCAACTCTGTTCTGCTGGAGGAGGATATCTTATTGTAACTATAAGGGAGAACCAGCTCTTTAGCCTGACGGTTACCTCGACTGTCGCGCCAGTAGCGACTTCTCTCGGTTGAGATCCAATCATTGATTAGAGACCTAGTTGTAGACCAACTTAATCCACAGAAAGGTTCTGGGCAACCTTGTAAATACTGGGTACTGATACTCTCAGCGAGTATATCAGGGATTTAAAAATAACTTCATATATCAGTTTCTCTATGGTTTTAATTATTTTATTCGGTTGAAATTTGTTCACTTTAATATATTGTGTTTGTAGTACAGTTATGTAGCACTTCCTTTCAGTTGTTTTTAATGTAGTTATACAACTCTATTTCTACAAATTACATTTAATGGAAACATTAAACTATACACAATAAATCCACTGTATTTAGGACATATAGCTAATATATTTCTTCAGTAAATATTGTTTTTTATATTTTTATAAAAAATATGTTTTTAAAATATTTTTATTTTTTTTGGAAATAATCACGGTTTTTTTTTGGTAACTATTTTGCTATTAATTAATTTAAAATTTCTATATAAGGAATAAGTAAAAAAAAGAGTTCATTAATATGTAAATAATGTATTTTTAATCCCAATTATCTTATTACATAAAACTGCATAATAGATGTTAATACTTTGGTTTCTATTTCCAACCAATCAGTAATTTTTTAATATATTCAAATTCGATCCACTCACCCAAAGATTTTTATTATTTCATTACTTTGTATACCGATTTTCCAAGGATATCGTTTGAAGAACACAGTAAAGCATTTGAAGAAGTTGAATGAACAGTTGATTACTTCCAAAGATAAAAGTGCTCTAAACATGCAAATGGTATTGAAATACCATAAGATATTATCTAAATATCTCAGTGTTGTTTTGAAATTGCATTACCTTTCTATAAATTACTCTGTCGTTGATCAAAAATGCTTTCATGTGGGGTTTTCGATTGGTAACTCTGGATTCAATCTGTATTTAATCCCGATTTGTCAAATTTTGTATTCCATTTGAACATATTTAGGGTAATCTATTATTTTTGTAGTAGTCTTAGGATACACTTATATATTCGATATATACATATGTTGAATCAAATCAAATTTTATTTGTCAAGTCATATAAAACAGGATAACATGGTAATTTCAGGGTAATTGTGCTACTCTGGCAAAATATCTAAAGTGCTGCAAATTAATCTTGAGTATTATACGTTTCTCTCGAGATTTATCAATCGTAAATGATAATTGTATTAAGAGTAAATCTCGGTTGTAAAAGTTATCCCAGATCAACCAATCGAAAACGGCCTTAGTTTTAACTTGCAATTTCCAGAAATACTTTAAAGATTGTTAATAAAAATAGTATCATACTAATAGAAGCTGATAACTATAATCAATTAACTTCAACCTCATGTTATCGAGTATTTATAAGAACATTTCTGAAATCGGAAAAGAGTGATACTCAATAAATAATCGGTGTGGAGTCAGACGCTTCATTTCTTGACACAAAAAGTATTTTTGAAAAAATGGTATAAATGATTCTTTCACCCAACAAAGTTCTCACAAAATCGTAATATTGGTAACTACACATTTTAAGGTATAAGAAACTTAACACCTACAGGTGTGACAAAACATACTTCAAGGCATTTACAACAGTGGACCCCGACAATACCGACTGTTTTAACATGCCAGGTAATTCAAACTGATTGGTAAAAAATAATGACAGAAATCGATGGAATGATAGTCATTTGATTTTTTGAAAAACTAAGCTATGTGTTAACATTAGAATACACAAATTCTTTTTTATATATGGCAAAGAAGAGGAGAATCTCAAAACTACAAAAATATCAAATGTATTTAAATTATAGTTTTTTATGATATCTGTCAAGGCTTGCAGACTTAAAAAAATTCTTTAGATACATCATCACGTATAAAATTGGGTCGTAATCCTGATAAACAAATTCGGCATTTATTTATTAAATGCAAAAGGCAACGAGAGTATCAAAACCAAAAATAACGATTTTAGAACATTTGGACTAACTCACTTTATAAAAATGATAAATTTATAAGATCAGTTTTCTCAGGGTGATATAAATTTCAATCTTCTCATTCATGGTACCATACTGGATCATAATTTATGCGCAAGTCGAATTTGATGTGCAAGCTTTCCACTTCAAACTAAAGCAACTATATATGCCGGAGTAATAAATTTCTCTACATTATTTTTCAAGAAATTAAAAAAAAAAAATCAATAGTGGACCCACCACTAATAGTCACATTGACCAAATTCTGAACTTTAGTCTATGTATAAACAAACACAAATCTTGTGGTACCACAACGGGCCATTATTTGAGCTCAAGTGGCCTTTTTTGAGTACAAGGCCGACAACTTCAACATAACCTAACCTCATAGTGGATCTATTAAAACCCTGGACCCACTAATTAATTTCTGTTATCTCCGAAATTAATTATAACTTAGATAAAGATAATATTGTGTGATTTTAATATGACTCTCAGCTATTGTGATAAGCTAGAACGGTTTAGCCTATGGTTTTTTGAACAATCTGTGTATCTCCAGACTAAAGATATGCTCTTAATGGATATATGTATAGGTAAATATGTATACGATTTATATAGCAAAAGTTTTTATATGATTAAATGTTTTTTGTATATATACAAAATAATTTAGTGTGCACTTGAAGCATTTCTGGAGTCTTATGTGTTGTGCTTAGACTTATGCATGGATATTTGTAGCAGTGTAATAATTTAATTATTACTATATATAAAACTAAAAAACGAAAAAAGAAATTAAATAAAACTACACTACACCTAAACATAAAAAAATATTAACTTTGAACTTAAATGGATATACGAGTATTAGAAATAAAGGATTTAAATAGAAATGTAAACCAAAATGAACTTTAAGGTCTTTAAAAATTGTTTAAATTTTTTATATATAGAAATAGTATTTGTATATAAAAAAGATAATCAAAAAATTAAATAAAATTAAAGTATCTCAGCTAATAGTGTCCTTACTTGGAAGACTGTGACAGTGGCCCATAAAATGTTGTTGAAGTGTTTGCGATCACATTCGCATAGTGGATGTTTGCTGATTATTTCGGGACACGTACATTCACGTTCGAGTCCGGTATCGTCCAAAAATTTACAAAACTTACCGCCAAATAGATACATGCCCAGTATGCTGTAGGTTTATATATATATACGGTATATATATTTATATATACGAGTAGTAGTAGAGAATTAATTTAATTATAAAATGTTTTTGTTGTTGTTGTTTTATGTATCAATTTAGTATTATTTTTAATTTTTTTCTTAATTGAAAGCATATATATTTTTTGAGTTTCTCAATAACTGTACGAGTTTATAAACTGATTTGGGTTTTATATTGGGTTTTTGTGGAGGTACTGTATTCTGTTAATGTTTTTGGTACGCTATTAAAATAATTTGTGACGCTGACTTAAAAAGTAATTTGGGTTTCATAATTAATTAAAAAAATTTTGCTTCAAAAGGAACATAAATTAATTAAAAGCAGTTATGTACAATACGATTAGTTCTTATTGATAGCCTTGATTGAACGAGAAGTATGTTAATTTTTTAAAAAAATTCGTATATGTAATGAAATAAAAAAAAAAATAATAATAAAATTTTAAAATAAAGCAAATTCCTATATTGTTTTTCAGCATAAGCGAAATATTTAAATAAATTAAAACTTAAATTTCAGTTAATGATTGGATTGTATGAGTAGACTGGCAGCAGGAGTAGTAGGTATTAGTATTTAAAGTAAAGTATACAGTAGAGTTGTGTTACGTTTCATATGAATTTCAATATATAATCAATATATAAAATTTTGTACTCTAGAATGTTTTTATGTAATGAAATAGAAATATTTATAGTACATAAAGTAGTTAGAGTAATGAAGTATTTAACTAACAATTTAGTAAATAAATGCTTTAAAAGTGTAGTGCAACAGCAAAACATGCAACATCATTTTAACTTTGCAGCTCTTATAGAATATATGAGTACGAATATTAATATATAAGTAAATGGCTTAACATTATTATAACTAAAATAAAATATATTATATATTAAAAAATAATAAAAACATAATTTATATAATTCATTACGATACTCCATTATGTGGAGATTCCGATTCCCAGAGCGCTGTGCTTTAACAACGGATTTCTATAAATTTCAATACTCAGTCTTTTTCTTAAGTATGCTATAGTTTAGTTCTGGAGATAGTTCTGGAGACTTTAAGCTTGTAAGCGTTTTAAATTGATTAAGCCGAAAATTGTTGTCAAGTGTACACACGCCATCTAGTGGCAATTTATGTTGAGTTCATAAAACAATTTTTGGATTTTGTGTCCTTGAAACAGGTTTTTTTTTAAGAAAGACAATAAATAAAAAAGTATAATTTTTATATATAATGAATTTAATTAAATTGAACTATTTATTTAATTTCATTCCATATATTAATTTTTAATATGGATCCATAAAAACGACGAATCTAATATTTCTTTCTAAGTCTTGTTTAAATTAATAAGAATTGAAAAGTTCATCTGTATCTAGACTTTAATTTTAACGGTTCTATTTTTCTAAAATGTTGTTGTTAAGTGGCTTTTCTTATTAACACGGATCATGGTATATCAAAGACCTGAACATACTAAAAGTTTGACATTAAAATAATGTTCTATATCGGAAAATTTATCTACTTTAAGAAAATGAGAGTTATACTATATTTAGATAAGGTTCATTTGGTTGGCTGTTACCAACGCATAGAACTATGTGTTTCTACCGATATTAGTTAGAAATTAAACTCTATGTAGATTTTGTAATGGGAGTTTTATGGATCTAAGGAGTGCTTGAGACTTTTTCTGAGACAGAGGTAATAAGTGGACTTTTTTAAATCGTGTTTTTAGCTTATGTAGTCCACACACATTGTGCTATCAGATAGTCATTATAATCATTATTTGTATCTTTAGAAGTTAATGTAAATTGTTATATAAATCTGTAGCTGACGTGTGTAGCAAAAATAAGGTACATAAATTGATTCGTTCTTAATAAAATCGATATAATACTTATTACCAAATTGATAACTTGATATGAATTTGATTATAACTAATTTGTTATAATGAAATTGAATGCAGATAATGACCATTTAAAAGGACTAGACAATATCTAGGCATTGGCGCATTTAGTGGGTGAAGGAGGAGGGTGGTTTCGGGCATAAATTTCCTTTCATTCTTCACAATAAAATCTACAAATAATAAAAACTATAAATTCCTGATATACATGGGTCTTTTTATTTGAGTACAAATATTAGCCATAAGTTTTTTCAATGAAACCTTGGAAACACTGGAGGAACATGTAGTATATATTGTATGGTATATTGTAGTATATATTCCCCTATGGTACAATCCTGGCTACATCAATGCACCTTTAATAGTTGTTACTAAATTGTTAACATCCTGTGAATTCTTTGGCTTGGTCGTGTTGTTATGAAAATGGATGACGATACTCTAACGAAAAAGTTATATAAAGCGGCAGTTGGAGAAAGAAAGTGTGGAGGTACAGTGTGTCTTCGGTGGAATGAATAAATTGAGGGAGCACTTATCGCACTTGATGTACGAAACTGCAGACGGTGTGTAAGCAGCATAGGCGTCTGAAGAGGTGTTGTGGGTTGTAGACGGGATTTTTTGGGCATTTAGATAAGTAAGTAAGTAATTCTGATATCAATATATAGCGTGCTGAAGTGATTTGTTCAAAATATTGAAATCTACTAAAATCTGTTGTCAACTTGTAGCGACAGGGTTATCGAAACATCGTTATATTTATATATTGCTTAAATCATATAAAGTAACACTCGTGCCTTAAATTAAGTTTAAAGTATTTAATTTTTATAAAAAAATAATTTAAAATAATTACTTAATTAATGAAATTAAGTAAAATAATGAAAGTGAATGAAAATGATTTTAATTAATAAATTTTTCAATTTCTGTATTGATTTTCTGTATTGATTTTGTAAGGCATTAATGAAATCAAAATGCATTCAAAACGATTTCAAACAAATTCACGATTTTGGTGAGCTTCGTAACAGTTTGGAATACGATCATTTTACAACAACAAACTAAAAAACAACAAATTCTCAATTTCATATTTAAAATATTTTAATTCAAGCTTACCTGTGTCTTGATACATTATACTGTGCTTTGGTTTCAAAAACGAAATTCTTAAGCCTTAGTCGAAAGATACAAAACTTAAACATGCAACTACGGAAGAAGATTGGACTTACGAATCAATAGCTAATGTTTTCAAAAAATTATTTCAAAACATTTTATTTTAATCATACAATTCCTACTATTTTTTTTACAATCAATTAACTATTCAGTGTGTTGAAAAAATATTACATTTGTTGTAAAATTTACTTAAACAAAATTCACTCAAACAATTAGAAAATACTTAAAATATCTACAATTTACTTTCCACCTAAATTAGAACGGAACACACACCGCAAACTCCAAAATCAAAATACTCAATAACAGCTTAGCTAACAATTCAAATAAGTTTTGTTTATAATAACATATTAAACTATAAATAAAATTATATTAAATTATAAAAAAAAAAATAATAAAATAAAATTAATATTACTTTAAAATATTATATGATTGATTTCCTAAAATGCAAAAACACACACACTGATAAAAAAATAATTAAAAGCAAAAGGGCTTAGTAGAAGCATTGAGAACAATTAAAAAATAAATTAAAAAAAATTATAACACACCATAAATTATATGTAAAATTTTATAAACAAATATGTTGCAACATTTATTATATATATAAAATATTTTTAAAAAAAATTCTTAGCAATTCTACCTGAAATACAGTGACGAGCGCCCATAGAAGGCTGTCGAAATTCTTACGATCGCATATCGTCTCTCCATTAACTTTCTCGCAGAATTTACATCCGAATAGATTCATGCCGAGTATACTAAATTGATGTTTTGATTTATTGTTTGATAATTCATTCATTCATTGTTGTTGTTTTGTTATAGTTTTAAACGATTTCAAAATTGTTTTATAAAAGATTTTTAGAGGGGAATTTTTAAATTTTTTTTTATATTAATATATTTATTTTGTTTATATATATTTAGGTATTTAATTAATATTTAATGGAAAAGAAAGAGAAGAGAGATAAACAGTGAGACAGAGATAGAGATAGAGACAGATAGATAGATAGATATAGAGTAAAAGAGATAGATAAGACGTACAATGCAGTAAACGTATACGAAAATTATACAAAAAAGCAGTAAGAAGAAAATTACAAAGATTGAAAGCTTTGCAAAAATTAGTTTTAATTAAGAAAAAAAATTAATAATCAAAATTTTGAACTATTTGCTATTTATTTGGAATAAATCTATTAGGGTTAAACGTGGAGAAAATTGATTATTGAAAACATTTTAAGTTTTTTACTTAATTTAAAATTATTTTTTGTATATAAAATGCGAAAAATTTTCTTTTAAAAATTAATTTTCTTTTTAATTTTAATGATAACAGACGGACAATTAAACACAGAACTGATTGAGACAATTAATAAATAAAATATTATATTTAATTTGTAATAATTATATTATAAGTATATCGGGTTAAACGTGGGGAAAATTGATTATTGAAAACATTCTAAGTTTTTTACTTAATTTAAAATTATTTTTTGTATACAAAATGCGAAAAATTTTCTTTTAAAAATTAATTTTCTTTTTAATTTTAATGATAACAGACGGACAATTAAACACAGAACTGATTGAGACAATTAATAAATAAAATATTATATTTAATTTGTAATAATTATATTATAAGTATATCGGAAGAATAAGTAAAAATATATATATGCATTGTATGCCTAATAGCAATATTTAAACTAATTTATCAAAACTTTTAAATCTATTTACACTAGAGGAAAAAACATAGGTCAGTTCAATATATAAATCAATTATAAAAACCTTTTATATTATTGGTTTAAACGAGTAAAAAAATATCAAGTAATCCTTATATATGCTGTAAGCTTATGTTGGAACAGATGAATTCAAAAATTATAGCTCAAAGTTAATTTCTTGAATCTTCTGTAAAGTGATTGCTAGGTCATAAGGAGAACTTATAAATTATTAAAGAATTAACTGCAACTAGGTATATAGAAAACTAAGTATATTATAGTTGATAAGACTATCATTACAAACGCTAGCAAATTTTCCACCGGATGATTTTGGTATAAAGAACGGTTCGTAACAAGTCCAATAGCTATTCTAATTTTTTTATTTGCACAATTTTAATTCTACACAAAGTTTCCTTAATTTATCACTTATAATTAGACGTAATTCGGTAAACCTAAAACTTAAAAAACATCAAGACTGTTTTATGAACGCTCTGTTTTTGTTGATATATTTTTGAGAAACAAAATATTTAGAAATATAATCTTTAGGTAAAATGCCTATTACTACTGATGTTATATATGTCGTTTTTTTGGACCGTCCCAAATATAAAATTGGAATACTTCATAAAAAGTATTTAGTAATCGAGATTCAGTATTAAACGATAAGCGGGATGCAAAAGAGAGGTTCTAAAAAACCTTCCGGTAAAAAACTGTCGAAATATCAAAAACAGCTCATTAAAATAGGTTTTTTTTTTTTTTTTTTGGTGAGGAGGTGGAATGCTTTATGCACCGTCAAACCGACCCTCGTCGGAATGGTGTGCCCGACTCCCTAACATTAATATGTAGTATACGGACTAAAACATCCCCTCTTCAGCGAGGCTTATTCCCCCTCGGAACCGCTTTCGCATTACTTCGATTATTAAAATAGGTTAAGTCATATCATATAAATGTCTTTTAAATTTACATTAAGACACATTAAGTATTAAGACACTTTGTGCATAACTTTTTTTAGTGCGCAAAAATTGGTTAAATTGGTAAATTATAGTTCTGAATCCATTTATGAATCTTATATAGAAAAATGTTCAATTAACTTTTTGGAAAATTTGTAAATTATTTATTAGTCATTCTCTTACACTCGGCTTTTTGCTTAAATTGAAGCAACCTATCGACCAGGAGCGACATGTAGTAATTAGTTATAACGAAGTACGAATAAGAAACTTGTGTAATATACATAGTATATGAGGTAGTCACGTGACAGTTCTAGAATTACCGATATATGTATATTCAAAGGACTAACTTATCTATGAAGGCTGTAGTAGTGTAAGTGCTAGCTACCTAACTGCTGACACAGTTAAGTTAAAAATAAGCTGTGTTATGATTACTAAAAATAAACTATTTTTCTAGCAAGATTACCTATGCAAACAACAAGAAGTTAACTGCGATCTAAAAGACTAGTAAGAAGCTGAAAGAACTTGATAACTGGTTAATTTTGTATTATATAGTTATATATGTATACAGTTATTTTTTTTATAATTTTTCGCTGCATGACATCCGTCTATTGACGGAAATAGTCTACTTTGAGTAATGCAAATATTAAACTCTACTAGGTTAGGTTAGGTCATACCGGCGATCTCAAGGGATCCACTTAAGCCTATTGTGTTACTGTATAATAAACAACTCAAGAGTTAGAACTATTCAGAACCTTTGGTAAAGCTTATAATGCTATTCAGAAGGAGGTCTTGCAGTTCGCCAAGCTCGTTAAAAAAGAAAGCCCCTAAAGTTATAAAACGGCGACTCGTTGGACAGAAATAAAGCAGATGGGAAGCATTTTCAGCGTCCTCTTCACTTCACAACTGCAGCAACTATGGTTTAAAAGGAGATTTAGTCTCGTAGCATGGTTAAAAGTCTACTAATTTGATTCATTTTATAATTTAGATTTTAGAACTTGTTTTTTTAATAATACCGATATATATTACAATTCTCTATTGACATTAAGTAATATTTTTTTTGGTACATATCATTCTAGAATATAAAAAAATTAATATGGTTATTTATTTTGTAATGTAAATATTAAAACTCTATAAATTAATTAATGTTATCAATCATATTTTAAAACTTTTCGCTTGGTTTTTTATTAATTCTTGCTAATCCCTGTCATATTAATTTTATTCGTATTATATTAATTAATATAATATATTAATCATACCTGCCTATTAACATTCAATACTATTTTTGTAAATTTTTTGAAGAAGTTTTTGGGAAATATTTAATATGCTTATTTCGAGCAAAAGATATATTTAAAAAAAATTTTAATTTTAAACTGCAAGAGTTATATTTTTTTAAATTATATTAATATTTCAATTTTTTTAAATATTGTTTACAGTTTCTTGAAATATTGCTTATAGAAAAATTAATTTGTAATAAAAATCAATTTTAATATTTTAGTTTATTTAAATATTGCTTATAAAAATATTAATTTCTAATTATAAAATTAATTTTAATATTTTAATATTTTAATTTTTTAAAAATACTGTTCTGTAAACACTGATTTTTAATTAAAACTCAGTTTTAATATTTTTAAATATTGCTTACAGAAAAATTAATTTTTAATTAAAAATCAATTTTAAAATTTAAATTTTGTTGAAATATTGCTTATAGAAAAATTAATTTGTAATAAAAATGAATTTAAATATTTCAGTTTATTTAAATATTGCTTATAGAAAAATTAATTTTTAATTATAAATTAATTTTAATATTTTAATTTTTTAAAATACTGTTCTGTAAACATTGATTTTTAATTAAAACTCAGTTTTAAGATTTAAATTTTTTTAAATATTCCTTACAGAAAAATTAATTTTTAATTAAAAATCAATTTAAATATATCAATGTTTTCAAACATTGCTTACAGAAAAATTAATTTTTAATTAAAAATCTATTTTAATATTTAAATTTTTTGGAAATATTGCTTATAGAAAAATTAATTTGTAATAAAAATCAATTTAAATATTTCAGTTTATTTAAATATTGCTTATAGAAAAATTAATTTTTAATTAAAAATCAATTTTAACGTTTAAATTTTCATGAAATATTGCTTATGGAAAAATTAATTTGCAATTAGAATCAATTTTAAAATTTAAAATAATTAATTCGTTTTCTAATATTGTTTACAGAAAAATTAATTTTTAATAAAAATTTTTAATCAAACTTAATTTTAATATTTTCGATTTTTAAATATGGCTCGAAGAAAAATTAATTTTTAATTAGAATTCAATTTTAATATTTTAGTTTTTTAAATATTACTTACAGGAAAATTAATTTTAATATAAAAATTAATTTTAATATTTAAGTTTTTCTTTTTTGAAATATTAATATTAATTAATATTTAATTGAAAATTAATTTTAATATTTTAAATCTTTTTTAAATATTGCTTTTGTCCCGCAATTTATTTTTTGCTATATAATAGATTTTATTTTTATTAGAACCGTAGAATAATTTAATATAACAAAATCAAAAAACAAAATTTTTGTATATAAATTAGAACTATAAAATAAAATCAAATAAATTATGTAAAAATAAAATAAAAATTGATATATCCTAAAACATAATAGTACTCTTAAATGAGAAGCTTAAAGCTAGAAGAATATTTTTAGAAAGATTTTTTATTATTTTTTTATATGTATTTTGTTTATAGTAATTTGAAATATTTTTTTTTGTTTAAATTATGTTTTTTTTTGTTTTAATTTTAAATTATAGTATTTAAATTAAGTATTTGTAAATATGTAAGTTGGTATATTTTCTAACTACTTTAGGCAACAATGAAACTAACTAACTTCGGAATTATGAATCAATTGACTACACAAATAGCAAAGTTTTTATTATAATTTTAAATAATTCAATATATATTTTAATAGTAAATACGCTAATATTCTAAAGCTAATACACACATTTATAAAAATCTATGATACTTTTGATGTGGTTATAAATAAATATGTATCTGATGTTGTGTAAAATACTAAAAGGTATTTAAGAGAAAATAAAATTTATATCTCAAAGTAAACAAAGCATCGAATATACTCGTAATGTTGTAAAGATCTTCAAAATTACAAAGAGAGAACATAGTAATAGTAATAGTAAAAAATTGACCAAGTATAGTTAAAGATATAATTCGTATTCGGTGTTAAAAGTATATAAAATAGTGAATATTGTAAAAAAATGAGCATAAATGTGTAAAACGTGTAAAACGTGTAAAGATATAAAAAAGTTGAAATATGTCAAATATAATTTAAATTCATTTAAATTCAAAGTGTAAAAAGCTTGCTAGCTACTTGCGAATGGACAGACACTGATGGCAAATACTTAAGGTACATACTATAAAACTAATTTAAAATAGCAGAAAATAGATGAAATTGGAGTAGCATGAAATAGATGAGGAATGTACGCTGGGGTGTTGAGATACTTAAGTATGTAAATAAAATGAACATGAACTTATGAACTTAGTTAGGCTAAAAGGGTTGTACTTAAAGTAATAAATTGTACATAAATTAAACTAAATATTGTGGAGCTGGGATAACGTATCTAAGCGGGGTACCCTTGAAGCTTTAACTATTAAGCTGAATTTAATTTCTCAAAAATTTTTTTTTTATTATAAGTAATAACTGCAGTAATTTGGTAAAACTAATTACATTTTTTTCTGCTTTTTTTTTTCTGGGAGTAAAAATATAAAGTAGTTGTACGTTAATATCCTAAATTAATTGAAAAGGTTTTGACTTAAGGTACAAAGCGCTTCATTTATTTATATTAATAATGATGTAATTACTTTTAATTTGGCGAACTCACCTGAATATGAAAATAAAGAGCACTAACAGCGAAAAGAACACCGCAACGTTGTCCATGGTCCGCAGCATAACGAATAATTGCCGGCGTAAATTGGGCATGAACCGCACAAGCTTCAAGATGCGCAACAAACGAAACGTACGCAATACCGAAAGACCGGAACCACCGCCTCCGGTGCCGTTGCCCAGAAATTGCTGACATATTTCAATGACGCTGTTAATGTAAAATTCATATAATATCAGTTTACTTAATTTTAGTTATTTTTAGAAAATGTTTTCAGACTATTAAAATTTCTTAAATAAAAATCTTTAAATTCTTGAAAATTAAATTTTCGACTTCAGTATTTCGCCTCTTCCCAGAGACGTTCTACACAGCGTCCGACATGCTCAGGGAACACTACTCATACTACTGTGTTAAGGCAACTGCTGACATATGCAATTGGTGTAAGTTTAGAGCCAAGAATGCACATTGCAATGTCGCATTTGTTGCATAGCAAAAATGTGAGGAATTTGCATTTTTTGCATTGGTTAGTAAATTTCAACTCAGCAAGTTTCTAGACAAAATGTGGACGTCCACATATAATTTTCCACTGCAACAAGTGTTGAGTGTCTAAGCAAAGATTGTAGGAATTAAATCTGAAATTATGAAACACTTGTGGACATTAAAATAAATGAATTTATTAACATTAAACAGAAGCATTGTCATGATAGAGTACTAAACTCTATGCTTCGACTAGAAGCGCCCTATGTGCGGACGAGTACAAAAGGACCTTTATATTTAATCCCAAAGGAAGAGTGGAATTATTCGAATAATAAAAATCTTCCATTTGAAACTGGAATTAAAGAGTTTTGTCGTCTTTATTTTTTTTTTTGTACGATAAAATTGAAATAAATACTTTATTAATATATATCACCATGATTAAAGTTTTAGCAATATATTTACAATTAAAAAGTATGTACATTCTGCTCAAAAAGTAGCTGGATTTTGTTGTTTGTTAACTACTCCTTAAGTAATAGACCTTTTTAAAAAATTTTTTGTTATGTTGGTACACCCTTTCCTGACATATGGTACAAATTTGAGCGCCATCTGTCAATTCGTTTGTTTACAGCAACTATTAACGCGATTTTTTGACCAAACACGGCACCACTGTCATCGCTCAGGCACCATATTCGCCAGATCTAGTGCCGTGCGACTTTTTCCTGTTCCCGAAACTCAAATTGCCCCTTCGTGGTAAGCGTTTTGAGTCGATTGAATCGGTAAAAGAGAATTCGTTGAAGGAACTAAAGGCCATATCTTTACGGGCCTACGAAAAGTATATGGAATATTGGGTTAAGCGTAGGCATATGTGTATCGCTTCAGATGGAGCATATTTTGAAGGAGGTAAAATAAATTTGGAATAAAATTTAAATTTGTGTGTTTCATTTACATAATCTGATTACTTCTTGAGCAGAAGGTACTTGATAATTGATTATGTCCCTTTTCAGGTACTCGCCATTGATTGAAACATTTTTGATAAGTAGATGTGCTAGTATATATATAGCAATTCGAATATTTTATGTGAAATTGAATTTAATTAAGGTAACATTAAAGATTAGAAAACAATTAAAAATTGTTTTTAACACAGACTATACTTTAAGTCGACCCATCCACGAGTCATTATGCTCATATCATAATCTTTGTTTTCTGACTGAGTTTTTGTTAAGTATTCAAGATGTTCAATCCGATTGTAATCCATGAAAACCGTGACCATGACCTAAGTGATCGATGTTGAGTCAAATGCAGTCGTTGAAATCATGTCTTTAGTGGGTTCTTTTTAAAAAACTTAGGTGTTTTGACATCAGCTGTTCAGTGACACAACTGAGACACAAATAATTAAAATACTTTGAACAGACTTATAAGCAAGTTTTATGCCAATTCCCTAATAAACAATTTGCGGTTTTCGGTCAACATTTTTTTTTGGCGGTTTGCGATGTCGGTGGCCATTTATTTTCGAATCTGTCATACTCAACAGATTCACGAATATTTTGAAGTATTATTGCCATGAACAAATAATCGTATTGGATAAAGTATCGTTCCCATGATATTTCTGTAATATTTCTAAGGGATTCACTGCATTGAATCCGACTTTTACAATTCAATTTTAAAAATAGTAAGTAATCTAAAACATACACGAAAGCAGAGGAACTCTTAAGAGAGTAGGGTCTACAAATGTCAAGCAACGTGTGAAAGTGCCATCTGGTAATTCTTAAAGGCACAAAATTTCAGGGTTTCCTAAAATTTCTTTATCAAGGTTGTATAAAACTTATGATGTGCATGCAGTGATCTTATTTTTACCCGATTCTCAATATAACAATATCATAAAAAGTGTAATATATGTGCCTTATTATTGAAATAAAAATTTTCATACAAATAAACTTAAATAGAGAGTCTCTAGAGAGGTCAAATTCATTTGGGGGTATATTAATTAGAATCCACGTTGAAAAGACTTTATCATCAACTTTATCTCATTGTTTAAAGAATATTCTTAAACAATTGTTGTAGCCTCATTAGTCGATACTTGGGGTTCATATATAAATGGTATATATTAAACTGATCATCTGCATCTTTTATTGACTTGATGAATATCATATAGGTACAATTTATCAAAAACATGCTAGTAGTAAATAATCTTTTAAATAATGTGTAATTTTAAAACAAACAAATTAATAATACATAAAGTTTAACTTACCTTAATATCACAATTACACCATCGAACACATTGAATCCATTTGCTATATAACGAAATGGACCCTCAGCAACAACTTTAAGCAACATTTCAACAGCAAAAATTCCAGAAAAGACAATATTACTTGTCTCTACAATGACAGTTAATTCTTCAGGTTGATTATGATACTCAATACCCATGGATAGTGTATTAATCAAAATGGCTAATAAAATGCCCTGCTGAAAGGATTTATGTTCAACCAGACGTTTGATATATCGTCTACCGATGCCGCAAATATTCATAACACAACGATAAGAACTTATAATGCAATTCATAACCTTAGAGCGTTGCTTTCTATCATCCAATGGGGATAGAGCATTTTGGTACAAATCATAGCAACATGAATAGTCTTCCATATAATTGCCAGTTATGTTCGTTGTTGCAGTGATGCCGTTACCACCATTGGCACTCGTTGCCTCAATAGGTTTCTTACGATCCTTAACTGAATTCTGATGATGTACTACTACCGCAGTATTTTCTAGATTTTGTTGATTTTTGAATGCCTCTGCAGTGTGTGGATCACAACGTGCCAATGAATTATAAAACGATTCGAGCGTACTCTGTCCAGTCGGCAATGCTGCTGAAAAGGCCACAGAAAATGCCAAAAGTTCTTGACAAGTCATTGCATCATGTATACCCAATTCTGAACAATCAGCATAAGGATTCGCAATCGTACCAATCGTTTGAGGTAAGTTCACCTAAACATAAAAGTAAGATATGTATTAAGGGTCTAATGCTTTCAATATATCCGACTTGATCTTTTACCTGCCAGATGCTGCCATCTCCTGCTTGTGTCATTTTTTCTGACGAACAGACGTTTTTCTCTACAGTCACCGGCTCGGCAGGTGGCGTATGCAGTAAAACATATTCATTAAACATCACTGAAGGTCTGCGGCTCGCAGAAGTAGGTGGGCTTAAGAACCCTGATGTACATGGGTGACTCTGTATAAGTTGTTGCGATAAAAATAATAAAATTTTTAGATTTTTATTTTAAACAAATTTGAAAATTTAAACTCTAACTAAATTTAACAATCAAGTTTAAAGCAGTAAGAATATCTTATAGTAATTTTTCGAATATTTTTTTTACAAGGTTTTTTTACAGACTACAGAAATATTTATTGGTTATGATTAATTCAGAACAAAGGGTTCATATATAAACAACTATCAATTAATTTTTACAACGGTTTGTATTTTTTATTTTTAAATTTTTTTTTTAAATAAATAATACGGATATGTTGTATGAGTTTATTTACAATGAATAAAATATTTTACTAGATTTCGATATTATAAGTAAAAAATCGTTAAGTATCAATAAACTTTATTTTATTATAGTTTGTACCTTGCCTAGGTTCCCCAACTGCAGCTTTATTTTTTAAATAATAAATATTTCGTTAATATTTAAAAATTATTAAGAGTTTACTATTATTAATTTACTGCAAATGTATTTATTGTTTTTTAAATTTTTGTTAGTAAATTTCTGTGTTTCTGTTTATTTCTGATTGAATTTATAGTCTCATTGTAGCCAGGTTAAAGGTTTTACTTAATAATACCATTTAAAATGAGTGATTTTTGTTACTTCTGTATATATTTATGAATAATTGATGGGTATTTGGATTTTATAGTGACATATATTGAATTAAAATGCACTACACTTTTTAAGATAACAACATCTACCGAATTCAAGAATTTTTGTTTAAGATTAAGATTTGTACTAAATATTGGACAGACAAACCCTCTTGTCAGATCTCTAAATTGTCCCGGTTTAAATTAGACAAAAAAAGCACCAAACTTCCATATTGGTGACTGTGTAATAGGAAAACATGCTGTGAAACTCTATCTATCCCATAATGACTTTTGACGAAGTTATGGTTCTGAGGATCTCTGGAAGAAGATTTGAAATCTTTGGACATCTTTTTATACCAACCTAACCTAGATGTCATCCTGCAAAATTAGGGAATTAGTCAAGTTTATACAATTGTTGATTGGGTCATCTTTACCTACTTGGGGAGTCGTGTCTTTCGGCGCATGTACAAACGCTAACAACGAGTCATTTGAGCATAAGTGGGTTAGAGACAAAAGGCCGCCATTCCACTTAACCTAACCTACATATCTCAAAAAGTAATCTATATGATATATAGCATAGTAAATAAAGTTGCCAAAAATGGTTGATACTACTCAAGTCTGTTGTCAAATCGGCATGTTTGGAAATTCATAATTACGCCACTAGATGGTAGTAATTAAAAGTTTTGTTTTGTAAGTAAACATAAGGTGTTAATGAGGTGTTATAATTATTGTAATAATGAGGACAATTTATTCTGGATTAAGTATGAAAGTCTATTTAATCCCTGAGATTAAATAAGATAAAAAAAATTTTAATATTTTTTTAGGCAAGATGGATTAAGAGATAAGCAAGTGATTAACTGGCTTTTTAATGAAGCAACAGGTACTAAAAGTGTGCTGATATATGCGAATTTCTAATAGTGGTCTGCATTCATGGTAAATCGGATCACAAGATTTTAGAGTGTAAAATATTTTTAGAGATAATACACTAGTGTTTTATTCAACTTGTTGTTTTAAGAAAATGTAAGTTGGAGTTTTTGGATAAAGATCTTTTTTCACTCTTTTAGTGATAATTTATTTTTCTTAATAATAATATAGCTGAGAGTCCAGATATAGGTAGACACTTATGCTAAGGATCTTTTCCTTAAGATATGACTGTAATAGATAAAACTACAACAGTCAAGACAATGATAATAATTGTGATTTATGAACATAATCATTTTTTAATTAATTTACATTTATTTTTCGATTCAATTACATCTATTTTCTCAGTTGTAAGTATGATGAAACCTACATTTTACAGATACTTAATATTGGTTTAAAAATTACTTGTTAATGTTGAGTCCAAATATTCGTTAGTCAAAAATACTGAAAACAAATAATGTTTAGAATGGCTTCATTCTAAAGGAATAACTTAGTGTGATTTGGACGTATATAAGAAGAAAATACTTAGTTTTCTAGGATTCTGTTAGAACATCTTGAAGTATGATAAGTAGAAAAATATTGTGAATCATATTATCATATTATATCATACTAAATTTTAATTTTTTATAAATAAAATAAATAATAAATAAAGGGGCCTTAGGTAAATTCTAAAAGAACACAATTTTTTATCAAAATACCATTGTGAAATTTATTTATATAGCACAGCACTACTTCAGAATAAGTCTACTAGGCACTACTGGTCTTAAAATTTTCCATACCTTGTAATAATTCTTTGTAGTATTAACTATATCTAACTATATCATCTGATTTTAACAGTTTTATCTGTCTAAAAATTCTTGTTTTTGAAGTCCTTTTAAATAAACATATAGGTCTATTTATTTGCATATCGATTGTTTGCGTAAAATGACTCTTTACGGAAATTTTAGTCTTGCGTTTATTATACTATATTCAGAAACATCTTAATTTCACAAAAATCTTAATTTCATCTTTGTTTCATAAAAATTAATTTTGTTTTTTCTGTACAAAATTTAGTTTTAAGGTTAGAACGAAATTAAGGAAAATGGTCTTAATTTCGTTGAAACGAAGTCTGAAATTAAGGGACATTTCAAATGCAACTATCATTTGTTTTTAAATAAATGTCAATGACAGTTGATTTTAATAAAACCGGGAAAATATTCTGAAAATAGTGCAAATTTTTAAATTTGAATATTGAGAAAAAACTGTAACAAAAAACATATGATTTCCTTAGTTTAGGGCAGTATAAACACTTTCAAAATTCACTTAATTTCATTTTAACGAAATTAAGGAAATTTGGCAGTGTGAACATAATATTGCCATTATTAAGTTAATTTATATTGCTGTAGTTTATGTGTTAGTTCTTAATTAGCAACATAGCAAGTAAAGTTAATGAAACTATACATTTGAATAACTTAATAAATTGATAAATAAATTAATCAATAATTAATTGAGTAATGCGTGTGTGGGTATGCAGTTCCACGGTTCAAATTTGACAGTGCTTAATTCCTGATACTGGCAATAAAAAATATTTTTTTGATAAGGAGTGGTGTTTCCAAAGACCACTGATAATGGGTGTTTGATGATATCAGAAGCAGCTGTATGATTAGTTAAAAATTTTTTGGATTTACAAATTTCGTTTTCAAGTATATTAACCCTAAATTTCTTTTGGAAAAAGCAAACTTTTCATAGGACGAAAATGATTTTCAACAAATTACTTAATTAATTAAGTAATTAATGCTAATTTGAGGAACAAAAGTGTAGTGCATTTTTTCAATATTTCTAAATTCTTAAAATTAATATATTTTAAGTTTAATATTGAATATTTGTATCAGTATATAGTAATAGATTTTTGTTTTTGGCAAGGATTAGTCGTTTTTGTCTGAAAGGATGGCAACTACTGTAAAGTAATTGAATTTAAATTGTTTGCATGAATAACAATGAACTCCTTTCTTCGATTGAATGTAAAAATGTTAATACAAAGAATATTCTAAACTTAATTTAATTAAAATTAAATGTAGTCGAATTCCTTCTCAATATGCCTTCTTCATGCAAACAACTTAAAACGTTTTAATTAAGAAAGCATTTACAACTTACAATTAATTGCTCCGAATCGACATTTTGTGGAAATTTTATTAAAATAGTTTTTTGTTGCTGTTGCTGCTGCTGTTGTTGTTGTTGTTGTTGGTGTTGTTTGTTTTGTGTTTGCTCTCCTTCATGTTTTAATTGATTCGTAGTTTTCTTTAAATTTGAATTACGCGCCACTACCACAGCATTTTCCACAGATTGTTCAGAATTTTCCGATGAGGAATAATGTTGTTGCTGTGTAGGTTGTTGTTGTATAAGTGTTGGTGTGTGTGTTTGTTGTAGTGTTGTTGACATGGCATGATTACCAGTGACACCATTGTTGGTGCCATTTATTAAGGCCGCCATTGAAGTTGGAGTTTGTGTTGTTGACGTTGCACGTTGTTGCTGCTGTGGTGTCAACTTATGTACGGTATGCGGTGAAGTTTGTTGTTGCTGTTGCTGTTGCTGCTGATGTTGTTGTTGTTGTTGTTGTTGCTGGTTATTATGATTATTGTTGTTACTGCTGTTGCTGACATTATTATTTGAATTTAACGGCACCATCACTGTGATCATTTGATCCTGTATACTGGACGGCTTCCGGTTGCTATATTTGGGACACTTTGGATGATGGCACTTGATGCGTGATGGAGAGAATGTTAAATTGTCTGCATTTGGCAGTAAACCTTCCTTCCGTTGTTGACGTTGATATCTTTTGTGTAAATGTTCAAATTTGTTGTTTTTGTTGGGATTGTTGCACATTATTTGGATTTTGTTGTTTAGTATTTGTTGTAGTAGTAGTAGTAGTAGTAGTAGTTGTTGTTGTTGTTGTTGTTGTTGACATTTGACAAATGATATGACAATTGAAAATGGCAACGCATGTGACAAAAGTACAAAAGAACAAATTGCATATTAGTCACTTTGGTTCAATGGCATTTAGATTTGTTTTTGACATAATTAACAACTTGACACAGAAAAGTGTTATTACGAAAATGTTAAATGATATGAAGTGATATGATATGAAATAAAATGTAACGATAAATTTTGACTCCATACATCTGTACCAATTGCTGCGATTTAATGACTTTTATGCAATTAAACGTGTTCCATGTGAAGCTGCGAGTGAACACATATCTAAATTGCAAATGATTCTCAGCAAATGTAAAGTTATTTTTAAGAAACTAATTTTAAATATTATAATTTGGAAAAAATTTTTTTATTTATTTAATAACTGATATTAATATATAGTATTATCTTCTTTACATTTGCTTTCATTGCGGCTTAAGGCCATTTTTCATCATCGCAAGCAAAATAACTAAACTAACTAAATCATTTTGTATGCACATACAATATATAAATAATAACATGCAAAAATAAAAAAAAAAATATAGAAATACAAATAATAATGATTTAAAATTAAAAAATACGAAAAATAAAAAAATAAAAAAATTCACATTTAAATAAAATTATAAGGATAAATTAAACAAGGATACATATGAATGCAACTAAAAGGAAGACATTTATTTAAATTCTTTTTAATAACGTAGCATAGCATGGGAATGTACGATTTTTTTAGTATTTTTATTTAGTTGTTTTTTATATATTATCTAAATTTTTACATAAATATGTCTAAAACTTCGGTACGGTTGCAATTTATATACAAAAATGTTTCCAACATCCGCCAAAGTGGGTTTGAAATTATGTTTGTTGCATACTTTGCGGCGTTTATAGCTGTTAAGGTTTATGAGCGGGTTAAAATTTTGGTGTTTTATACACTTTTGGCAGTAAATCATAAAATAGCTTTAAAAGAATTTTCCATTAGTACGGTTATGGGGTTAGGTTAAAAGAAAATTATTTAACGAAATTTTGCATACATTTGTATATGATATAACCTAAGCTAAAAGCCTAACATTATGCTATGTATACAATTTTTATGATGTGAATATCAAGAGACTAAGCTCTCTCTTTACATTGATTATTCAATCATTTGGATAAAACTACTTTCCAAACAATTTACAGCAACTTTGAGTTTATAAATTGTAGAGAAAATAGTTAAGGTTTCTGGGTTATATTGTACATAGCATATACTTAGACTTTTTTCTCAATTGATTTGAATGTTAATTTTGACGCTTCGCTAATTTCAAGTTAAGGTTTAAAGATAAATCATAAAAATTGTACTCAAATTCAACTCTTCAATTAACTCCAAATTAAACTCATACTTCAAAAAAAATTATGGGTGAACTCAAAGTAATCAACTGAAAATAAAATTGAAACTACATCCATCATACTTATATAATCTGTACTTCTTTAACATTCGTCTCTTGAAGCGTCGCCACAGATGTGCTATGTATTTCACGATTTCCGCATAGCAGGTTGCCGGCTCCGAATTATTAGTGCTGGACGCCAATGTGGAGGTGGATGTATAACGAGCACGTTCCTGACGCATACGCTCCATTTCACGTTTCTTCGTTTCGGAAAACTGCGTGGCAATAACAACTAAGCAGAGGTTAATCATGAAAAAGGAACCAATCTGTAAGAAAAATAATGAATATGTAAATTAATATGTAATATTTTAATTAAATAAATTTAATTAAATAAAATAAAAAAGTTATGTGCAGGGTTTGACAGGGTACAAGTTCAACGCTTGATACTTGTAATATAAAAAAAATTATTTGCAAATAATTAAATATAAGAAATTATGCCAAGCCCACTGATAATGGGTCAAAAATTCAATTAATTAAAAATAATAATAAAAGTTTTGCTATTGCAAATACACTACTGTTCGATAAACACCTTTCTATTAAAACCTATAGCTAATAATAAGAATTTAGTTTCTTTCGTTATAACGGACGTTAAAAATCAAAACAAAAAATTATCATATATATGAGTATACCTATAATACTTAAATTAAATTATTTGCGAAAACTGACAGACTTTCCAACACCGCGTTATCAAATCTCAGGCTCCTTGGGGAGGTATGCAGATCTAAGTTCAATTATTGCTTAGTCTGATGAAGTGATAGACAATAATCTAGTCAAGGTGTAGAGAGGGGTTTTTAAGAAACCTCGAATTAAAAAAGAGTATAAGTGCTTAAGTGCACTAGCTCAAAACAGCTTCAACATAATTAAATTTGAAATTTTAAAATGGGCAAATATGTCATTTAATAAAAAATATCCTAATTCCCTCAGATAAAAATAATTATTAAAACAATTTTCCCATATTTCTACTATCGTCGCCAGCCATCTTCGGTTAAGTATTGGACAGCATAACATATCACACTTTTGTAAGAATTTAAACAGCTTTGTAGAAAATTTAATGGTCTCTAGGGTATTATAAACCGGTACCGTTAGGTATGTATCTAGGGCAACTCCAAGGCGGGCTAAACTGTCAGTTTTCTCGTTTCCTTCGATGTTCCTATGTCAAGGGACCCATATAATATTGATCTCAACGAACCGATTTAGCTCGTCGATTGAATCTCTACATTCTTTTGCTATTTTATATTTTGTGATGAAGGATTTTAGGGATTTGATGGTTGCCTGGTTTTTAATAAAAATGGCAACCATACATCTGTCCTTAATCTGACTTGCAATTTGTCGACATGCTCTTTTAATCACTAAAATTTTAGCCTGAACAACTGTGGCCTTTTTATTTATGCCTGCAGATGACTTGAAGATTCCTGCTCCTATACCCGCAGTGCATATTCAAGCCATCTGTATAGATTGAGATATCGTAATTTGCTTGAAAATTTCTTCTTTTCATTCGTTTCTTAAAGGGACATTTTTTCAAAGCCTCAGCATAGATTCAGATAATCCGATGTCATCCTATACAGACAATTTGGAACTGTGCCCAAAATCCGGCTATGTCCATATGTGCGTTTCGACCAAATGCCTGTCGTTTTAGCTTAACAGTGCTATTGCAAACGATATTTGTAATATAAAGATCAATGGGTACCATCACGTTTATGGCGTCCGAAGGGGTCGGCCTAAAAGTACTTGTGATGTTAGTTGTTATAATTATTTTGACGATGAAAATAGCAAGTTAAGCATAATTATATTGTAATATTTGTATTTTGTGGATTTTTAAAACAATAATACGAAAACTTGGATATACCTAGTATTAGTTACCCATTTAGGTTTAAAATACTGGCTATTTTCTGTCGTAATATTAAAAATAATATTAAAAATATTAGGTTTTTCTATAGATATGCTTAAAATCACGAATGCCTTGATATATTTGAATATGTCATAGTACGGATTTAAAATATATTTAAAATTTATTCTGTACAAATTTACATATAAAACTATTGTAAGCAGTATACAGTTAGAAATAAAATTATGTTTAGATAAGTTCACAAAATTACAGTTTTTAACTGTAGAAGACAGCATATATTTTTTAAAGATCTGTAATATTTAATAGGAAGCTGAAAAATTGCAAGTAAAAGAATTGAAAAAAAGAAAAATTCACAATGCCGGTCAAAAGAAATTTGGGTACAGTTGAAGGTAATAATAATCGTATCATTAAGGTTTTTCATTAGAGGTTTTTATTAAACATTACTCAACAACAAAAACAATTTTTATTATTTTTATTTAATTGGTCTTTGGCTGACGATAGTGGTCATTAACCAACTGACTCCAAGCTTCAAATTTGGCAGACTACGAGTTCAACTCTTGGTACTTGCAGCCTCAAAAAATGATTTATGAATAATTAAATATAAGATATTGAGGCCCCATGCTCCACTAGAAGAGAAGGACAGCAGTAAGTAAGTAAAATATAAGATATAATACCAAGGCACTCTTCAAAACAGCTTTATTGTCAGCTAAAAATTTAATTAATTAAAAATAATAAAAAAAATTTTTGTTGTTGCAATTTCGCTACTGTTCGATAAAAATCTCTCTATTGAAAATAATAGTTTATATTAAGAATTTAGTTCATTTCGTCAAACCGAAAATAAAATCAAATATTTTTATATATATAAATAATATATATAATATATAAAATATAATAATATATATATATATATATATAAATATATATATATATATATAAATATATATATATAGTTAATAACATTAAATATAATTGTTTCAAAAAATCATAGATGAGGGTTATTCCACTACACAAAACGTTGATGAAGCGCAGCTGTTAGGTTTGAGCTCAACTAGTGTATTAGACACAAGCGATGTGATTAGCGATGATTTTCCAAGAATTCCGATAAAAAGTAAAAAACCCTTGGACACCAGTACCAGTGGTGCATTAGAAACTAGAAATGTGATTGGTGGAATCCTTTCAAAAATTCTCACAAAAGACAAGTTGTTTAATTCTAGCTCAACTGTAACTGACTCTACATTACAAAGTAGCGATGTGACTAGTGGTAAATTTTTAAGAATACATACAATAGATAATAAAAATTTGTATATAAATAATATTTACAGATATATCAAGTGATGTCGAAGAAAAATACTTTACAGCAGAAAGTATAGATAAAGCTTATATTGATTTTCTTAGAAACTATATGAATCTACAAAACGTCATTGGGGAGAAGTCTGAAGTAGAAAACAATGTCATATTACAGGATAACAATACTGCTAAAATGACTGATGCAGATAATGTTAGTGAGAATTCATCTAGTGATATCGATGAAAAGTACTATACAGCCGTGAGTCTAGACAAAGTATATTGCAACTTTATAAAAAAATGTGCTCATGTTTCTAACAACGCTGAAGAAGAGCCTAATGCATTAATTCAGAAACATCTCACTGCAGTTGAAGGTAACAATCTTACAAAAAAATGCATAAATGCACTGAAAAGTATTGAGGTTAGATCAGATGAGATCGAAAAAAACTATTATCCGACAATAGATATGGCTGATAGTATTTCCCCAGTATGTGCATATGTGACCAGCAGCAACGGATCTAAGGCCAATATGATCATAAATGAAGATTTCAATCCAACAGAAAGCAATGCAGCCATAGATTATAGACATCTAAAAAAATACACAGATGCATACTTTGATAAAGTAAACTCTAATACGATCATAAAAGAACACGACATGGTTATCGAAAGTGATAATATTCCTACAACTAGCGCAACGGTATTAACCGTCAATCGTGTAAAGCCTAATGTGTTATTGGATGAGTTCTTTAAGGCTGCAGAATGTAACCAAATAGAAAATTCTAGTCATAATGTATGTGCAGACCCAATGAGCTATGATAATGTGAATGGTATCGATATATCAAGTGTATATGAACCAAAGTCTGATGTGATAATTAAAGAATACTTTAATGCTATAGGACGTAATCATATCCAAGGTCACTCGGAGGTGAAATCCAATAAAAAAACCAAAGAAAGTTTAAATGTAGCAGAATGCGATGGTCAAGCGAGTGATAGTCAGTTAAGAAACCGTAAAGATACAAGAGATGATAAATTGATAGGCACTGACCCAATGGAAGGTAATAGCTTCATAGTTTCATTAGTGACATTTTTTTATATAAATATTCACTTGAACTATTGTTACTTTTCAATTAGATTCCACTGATGATCAAATAAAAAAGAAGAACGCAAATGTCAAAAGAATCATTACTTACATTTGGGCGTTGACAACATTAATTTTATTTGTCGTTGGTTACATTTTCTTCATAAAATATACCGACTCAAAGGTAACACAGGAGCAAATTATTGTTACCAGTAATCATACCTCAGAGGAGAAACCGACATACATGTATTGTAGGTCCATTGCTTTTAATGAAACTGAAAATATTGTATGGACGTTGGTAGATGCAAATGATCCAATTAAAAGAACTAAGATATGCCATACCCGTCTGGTCAACGCCTATGTACATGAACTGACCAATTATTTAGTACAAAGAGTTTTAATTGTGACTGATTGGTGTCTGAACTTAGCACAAAGGATGTCCATTGTGTTTAACTTTTATTTAAATTTATTTAGTAGAAGAAAGGAAGTAGAAGTAAGTGAAACGGTAACGGTAAAGGAACATCAAATATTGGATTATCCAAAAGGTTATGTCTCGAGGGTTATCACATATCTAACAGAATCGTTTTATTCAATGACTGACTGGTTCGTGACTCACTGCTTTAATGTACGCGGTAATTCAAATATATTGAAATGAGAAATGCTGTCATTTCAACTCATCAGCATTTTTTCAAAAATATTCCAAAATGCAAGGATATGACGGATAAAAATTTTATACATCAATGCTTCTATAATATAATTAATCTATTTTAAAATTTTGGAACAGTTTTAGAAATTATTGTTTGCATAATAAAGCTAATAATACAGTTAATAAGTTTAAAAATACTTTCCTTGTATACAGAACGCATTACAAATTTTATTGGTTAGATGTGGTTCCTTAACATCATTATTACATACTATATATCACATCAATTGTGTCTTGACATTTCTAGGGCATTTGGTATTGTTTGTGTCGGAAAACTGGGTAATATTGAGAAGAATCTGCAGTTTTTTGGTACATTTATAAACAAAAATTTTCGTTATTGTAAATCAATTTTAACCCAATATATATTGGCTTTTACTATTTATGACAATTTTCGGATAAAATCACAATGCCATTGGAGTACAACTTCTTTGGTTTATTGAGAAAAATTAATTAATAAAGTTTTGCAGAGATTAAAACAAGTGGTGTATATAATAGATGCAACAAAATTTCATAACCAAGTTCCATCGAGTACTGCCAAGTCATCGAAGTTATATGCATTGCCTGACATAGTTGTGATGGAAGACAACTACTTTTTTGGCCAATTCTCGTTGGTTTACCTTATTTGTTTTGTTTGATTGAGAACAATAAAATACAGAATTTCCTGTTTTATTTAGCTGAAGTAGCTCGTATTGGACCATTCCTTCTTTCTCAATTCCACCAAACGCTTAACATAACCCTGTTTGAAGAAAATCCAGGCTTTGAAATCGTTTGTGAAGGATGACCAGCGTTAAGTACTATTGTTTTTAATTTATTTTTCTCCTATAATGATTCATTTAAAAATTTTTTAAATATTTAATGGACTCTTTGAACGCTTGAGTTTTATATGCTTATGATGACACCTAAAATGTGTTACATTAACTTTTGAAGGATAAAATCCTTCAGTTGTTTACTGTTAAATATGGTACAAAAATCATATCTGGTTCCATGTTGGCTCATGATTAATGCAGAATTTGAGTTTTTTGTGAAATGGAAAAAATCAAATCCCTGAATTCATTTTTAAGAGCGAGAATTTACGTGCCACAATCCGAAATAAAAACTCCTCTCTATCGTTTTGATTGATTGGTGACAATAGTCATATAACATGAACTCTGCAGTATAAACTTCAACAACTTGAGTAGGACCTACGACCACAGAAGTATTTAAATATTTAAGACATAGAAAATAAATCCCAAATGGACAGTTAATGGTAACAAGTTATAATCAACGAAATTTACAATATACATTAAACGAAATCATTTCTTTAAATATATGATAAGAGTACTTATTGCAATATAGAATTAAACTAAACGAGAATTATTAATTACAATACCTCATATAACATGTTATATGATAATTTTTTGTTGGCACTTAATTTTTTTGAAAAGTAAAATATTTAAGTATGCAAATGTAAAATATAAAGCTCTGTTGGGTAAATGACATGGACGGACGAGGTATATACAGATATTGAGCAGAGGTTCATATAGTTGAACTATGATATACAGCTTAAAGTATGTTATACATAGAATGTTATAAAGTTATTTTCCAATAGAAAACAAGTCACATATTAAAATATATTATTCAACTAAACGAGAAATTTAAGTTATATATTCTTTCATTATGTTTTGTAAGACAAATTTTTGTTGATACATATTTTATTGAGATATATTATTGAGATATTTTTGAAAAGTATAATATCAAATTAGGCTGTTGTAAAGAATTAATTACTGATGAACAGACAATAATGGAGTCGTGTCTTTTTGAAAAGGGGGGATTCCCCTATTCAAGAAGAAGGAAACCAATCTGACAATCAAGTCTTTTGAATAATTTCTTAATACTTAGTTAGCAGCGATGCCATTGTTCTTTTTTTTTTTTAGAGCAATTAGTGCTAGATTGTGCAAGTATTATTAACGAATATTTTAGGATTGCCATACTTATGTTAAAAACTATTTTTTGTATATAAAGTTAAAGTACAGAATAGGGCAGTAAGTCGAATGTCAGATTTTTAAGTGCAATTGAATCGTGCCACGAACATAACCATTAAGATTTTGCAAATTTTTTGAACAGATTTAATGGTTCAGGGTATCGAAGTAGGACCGACCGGAAATTTGTTTAGAATGCAATTCAAAACGTATCTTAAATAAATAAGATTCATATATCCTGTTTATGCTTTAGCCAATTAGGTGCCAATAATCATAGCATATCAGAATAGCATTATTTATATATATCTAGTACAAATATATCTAGATACCGAAAAAAAGCTGTATTTCATAATACGACTCCAATAAGGGTATCGAAAACAGTTATAGTATTGGTAATAGCTTCCTTCTGGTCCGTGTCAGAGGAAAAATTGCATATTTAGCACAAATCAAGTGATTTAAGTACCGGGAAAAGATCCATATTTCGTAATTCGACTTATGTGAGGGTATCGAAAACAGCACACAGTTTTGTAATCAGTCACTTTTGGTCCATTTCAGAAAAAGAACTACATATTTAATATAAATCAGGTCTTTTAAGTACCAGACAAAGCACTGCTTTTCTAATCGCGACAAAAGATCTAAAAACATCTCACAATTTTGTATTAATTCTCTTGTAGTGGGTTTTATAGAGAAATATCAGGAATTTTGTATTCGTTCCGTATCAGTTGCACTATTGTAAGTAGATTATACTATATTGTATTATATATAGTGTAATCAGGTAAGTCAAATAAGGTACCAAAATATATTTTACATTTAACTTAAGTATATTATAAATGGTATGGTTGGTTGGTTGCAGTGGCAGGTCATAAGATAACTTCAAATGTACCTCAATTAGCGATTTTTCGCCGTTTTGTTACCACATTCCTCGCAAGAACCCTAGTATAGAAGAGTAGAGACTAAATCCATCCCACCGAATTTAGGTAATTTAACAGGTCTTTCATCCTTACCATTGAGCAGTCTGATAGACTATCACAAAAGTATTTTCCTAAGAACCTATATCTTCTGGATGCTAGATCCAGAAGATTCACAGAGAAAATGTATTATTGTTTCTTTCTCCCGCGGGTTTCCACAACTTCTGCAGTGAGAGTTATGGGGAATACGCAGTTTCTCTGCGTGAGTTCCTAACCACCAATGACCAGTAAGAACCGCAATAAGCCTTGCAGTGTTTACGCGATCTTTTTTGATGAGTTCCAGAGATTTATTTTTATTATAAGTGGGCCACGTTAACCTGGAAGTTGCACATGACCTTAGTGCTTTCCATCTGTTATTAGCGAGTTGCAGAAAGTAAAGAAAGGTACTTCTTTTGATGGTCTCCAGGGTAATATAGACTGATACCGCCAGTGACGCATCTAGGGAGGCACCAGAGCGGGCTAAACTATCAGCTTTCTCATTCCCTACGATGTTCCTATGCCCAGGAACCCATAAATGGTCTGAGTTAATACAAATTTTTTATTAAAGAAGTTTGATTCAAGAATGCATTGAGTATTGAGAAGTCTGCCATATAACGCAACTTTGTACTGTTTTTTCGATGGGTAACTTTTGAACTGACTCGAAAGTTTCAAATATATATAGTATATGTAGAAAGATTAATAAATTATTAATAAGTTCTTAATTATTTAATAATTAAATGATTACCGTGTAAAGAATTTGCATATATATTGCATAAATAAAGACTAGGTATAGGACAATACTAGCAGAACGGTGAAGTTATATCCTATGTTGAGAAGTATAGCGTTGTATTGATTTTATTAAATGAAATATTGACTTAAAAATAATTTTAGGAATGATTTTAATAACTAAAAATGAAACTAGAGAGGTTTCTATTGAACAATAGTGAATTACAACAACAAAATTTTGAAATTTACAACAATTATTTTGAATTAATTGAATTTTTGACTGACAATACAGCTATTTCGAATATTGCCAAATACCCATTATTAGTGGTTCTGGAATTATTTCTTATTATTCATTACACATAAATAACTTTTTAAAACTGCAATTATCAAGGGTTGAACTCGTGCCCCGCTAATTTTGAAGCACAGAGTCAGTTTTCATTACAAACTGACCCTGAGCTGTGCTTGAGTTATTTGTTTGAACTTGGCGTTTTGTTAATTTGCTGTGAAAGTTCATTAACAAATTCATTTAAGGTGTTATATTGAAACGAAATCATAAACCAGCTCTTGAATAATTGAATCAATTAATTATATATTCTATTTTTAATTATAAAATTTCAATATTATATTTTTAGTAGAGACATTATTTATTGCAAGATTTTATATTATTTTTTATCTGTATAGAACCTAATCTAGGAAAGTAATTAATTATAATTAAATATAAATAATTATAATTAATTATTTATAATTAATAATTTAATTATAATTAATTATAAAATATTATTATTAGCCAAAATAATAATAAATTGGCTAATTATTGTCAATTTTATTTTAACTGTCAAAATTTCTAAAATATTTCATATATACAAGTTATCGGTTAGATACTTCATTTTTAAATAAAATTAATTAAATAAAATATTCAATTTCATATAAAATTACTATGAGGACATATTTCTTATTTATTCTGAATTTCTCTACCAAACTTCAATGCATTGCTTTGCAGTTTTCTAAGATGAGGACAAGAAATATGAAAAACATTGCTTAATAGTTGATGCTCAAATGCTTGCAATTCAAATGTCGTGTTGCAAGTTGCTAGTTAATTTAAGTTTCATTTGAAGCTGGCAACTGTTGCAAACTGCAGAATGTTGCAATCGAGTGAAAGTTTCATAAATTGTTTTAAATTAAAACTTTTCACATAAATAACACAAAATTGCTTTTAAGTGAATAGTTTTGTGTTGTTGAGAACGAAGCAAATTTATTCCGAATATTTAAGAGATTGTAGATTTGAATTTGAATGAAATTCTAACATTCATAAAATTTGCTAATGCAACTATTATTTACCAAATATTCAAATAAACTAATAAACACACATATTTATACAAAACGATCCAAGGCATACGTAATTTTTCATAACCTTTTTCAAATTTCCTTGCTAGCATCCTTTCAAGGATGCAAGTATTTTCCAAGAGCTTGTGCCGATGCACAAATATTACGTGTT